GCAGAGTAGTTTTGTTCCCTTCCCTCCCTCCCCGCCACCGCGGTGGCCAACCTCCCCCTGACCGCGCTGGCTGCCCCCAGCGCCGCCCGTCATCTCGCCGCTGTCGTTCGGCGAGGACCCCGTGAACGCGGGCGACGCCGTGGCCGTGCAGTGCTCCGTCATCAAGGGCGACATGCCGGTGGAGATCTCGTGGAGCAGGGACGGCGTGGAGGTCAAGTCCGGCGACGGCGTGGAGGTGGGCCGCCTGGGCAACCGCGTGCGGACGCTCACGGTGGAGACGGTGGCGGCCAGGCACCGCGGGCTGTACACGTGTGTGGCCAGGAACGCGGCGGGCGAGGACCGGCAGTCGGCGCGGCTCGACGTCTTGGGTACACTTCCACTGTACCAGCAGTAGTGTGTGGCTGCAGTAGCTTGTGCGCGTAGTCTCCGTCTCTGGACGTTCCCCTCCCCGCTCCCCGACACTGGAATTCAGCCCATTCGTAGTGTAGGAGCACGGCGCTGAGAGTCACGCCACGTGTTCCGCCAGTCCAACCCCAGATCCTGGCGCTGTCCTTCGGCGACGACCCCATCAACGCGGGCGACACGGCGGCGGTGCAGTGCACGGTGGTCAAGGGGGACGCGCCCATCAGCATCACGTGGTTCTTCAACGGCGTGGAGGTGGTGCCGGGCACCAAGGGCACGGAGGTCACCAAGACGGGCAAGAAGATCAGCGCGCTGAGCGTGGAGTCGGTGCAGGCCGCCCACAGCGGCGAGTACACCTGCAAGGCCAAGAACAAGGCAGGGGAGGACATGCAGTCCGTGGTGCTCAACGTGCAGGGTGTGTGGCGGCAGCGTAGTCAGCATAGTGCGGCGGTTTGGCCTTCTTTTCTGTTGGTGCACGTCTTGATGCCTTGTAGTTTCCCCCGACCCCTTCCCCTACACCCCTAATTGACGCCCCCGGCGTGCAGTGGCACCCCAGATCCTGGCGCTCACGTTCGGCGACGACCCCATCAACGCGGGCGACACGGCGGCGGTGCAGTGCACGGTGGTGAAGGGCGACGCGCCCATCAGCATCACGTGGTACTTGAACGGGCGCGAGGTGACGGCCGGCGAGGGCGTGGAGGTCAACAAGCTGGGCGGCAAGATCAGCGTGCTGAGCGTGGAGTCGGTGCAGGCGCGGCACAGCGGGGAGTACTCGTGCAGGGCCTCCAACGGCGCGGGCTCGGACACACAGACCGCCGTGCTGAACGTGCAGGGTATGAAGACGAACGTGTAGTCGTAGTACAGGCGCTGCGCGTAGTTTGGCTGGTGTTCCCGCCCCTTTCCCTCCCCGTCTCTCCCAGCCCATCCAAGCTGTGATCCTCAAGGCGCCGTGTGGGTCGGCAGTTTCCCCGCAGATCCTGGCGCTGTCTTTCGGCGAGGACCCCATCAACGCGGGGGACACGGCGGCGGTGCAGTGCACGGTGGTCAAGGGGGACGCGCCCATCAGCATCACGTGGTACTTCAACGGCAGGGAGGTGAAGGCGGGCGCCGAGGGGGTCATGGTGACCAAGGCGGGCGCCAAGATCAGCATGTTGAGCGTGGAGTCGGTGCAGGCCGCCCACAGCGGGGAGTACACGTGCAAGGCCAAGAACAAGGCGGGCCAGGACTCGCAGTCGGTGGAGCTCAACGTGCAGGGTAGGGCGCTGTGTGTTTTTGCAGTGTACCCGTCGCTAGCATGGACTTAGCGCGTGGATAGCGTTGCCTTTTCGTTTTTTACTCTGCCGTGTCATTGGTGTGTAGTGCTGGCCCACCGCTCCCCTCCCACCCGCTCTCCTCCCCCTGTCGATCTCACGACGCGCCCCCCGCGTGCAGTGGCCCCCCAGATCCTGGCGCTGTCCTTCGGCGACGACCCCGTGAACGCGGGCGACTCGGTGGCCGTGCAGTGCACCGTGGTGAAGGGGGACGCGCCCATCAGCATCACGTGGTACTTCGACGGCGCCGAGGTGAAGGCCGGCGGCGACATGGAGGTGACCAAGGCGGGCCACAAGACGAGCGTGCTGAGCGTGGAGGCGGTCAAGGCTCGCCACAGCGGCGAGTACTCGTGCAGGGCCTCCAACAAGGCGGGCCAGGACACGCAGACGGCCGAGCTCAACGTGCAGGGTACGCGGCGGCCACCGCGGCCACGCCGGCCGGACGACCGGGCTGCTTGTTGTCGTAGTTTGCGCGCGTAGATGACCCTCTCCTCCATGACCCCCTGACCCTGCCCCTCTCTGACGTCGGCCGCGGCCACAGTCCCGCCGCAGGTGCTGCCGCTCAGCTTCGGCGAGGACAAGTACACGTACGCGGGCGACACGGTGGCGGTGCAGTGCACCGTGGTGAAGGGCGACGCCCCCGTCAAGCTGGCCTGGTTCTTCGACGGCGCGCCGCTCGAAACGGGCGGCGGCGTGGTGGTGACCAACGCCGGCCAGCGCGTCAGCATGCTGAGCGTCGAGTCGGTGCAGTCGGGCCACGGCGGCGAGTACGAGTGCAGGGCCTCCAACGCGGCGGGCCAGCACTCGCAGTCCGCCATCCTCGACGTGGCGGGTACAGTCACGATGTTAGATGGATGCTAGCCTCCCGCTGTAGCCTATTTGGTTCTCGTTGTTTTTTCTGCTGCTTGTCTTTTTAAGTTTCCACCATTTCCACTACACTTTCCGCCCCCTCGTGTATTACAGTGTGTGTATGTGAGTGACTCTGCAGGTGTGTGCGCGTCGCTGGTTCTTCATGATAGTGATTGACTTTGTGTGTTTCTGTGTCGAGTGTGTAAAGACAGCCATTGCTTTCCAGCGTTTATTCCTATTTTTCTACGTGCTTTTCTTCGGCATAAGTGATATGAGTGTTGGAGGTTGCGTTGAAACTGGAAACCCCAGTGGGTGTCCGCCGCCTCTGACGGGCACCCTCTGACGGGCACCCTCCCCTCCCCTCGCCGCAGTCCCCCCTCAGATCCTGGCGCTCACGTTCGGTGACGAGGCCGTCAACGAGGGCGACACGGCGGCCGTTCAGTGCACGGTGGTGAAGGGCGACATGCCGCTGACCATCTCGTGGGCGCTGGACGGGCGCGCGCTGGACGCCGCCAAGCACCCCGGCGTGCAGGTGACCAAGCTGGGCCCGCGCATCTCCACGCTCAGCATCGAGCAGGTGCGCGCCGAGCACATCGGCGAGTACACGTGCACGGCGGCCAACCCCGGCGGCAGCGCGTCCACGTCGACGCAGCTCCACGTCCTGGGTACACACTCCGTACACTCTGAACCAGCAGTCTGTTGCGTATGCCCGTGGTAGGCGTAGTCGGTTCAAGTAAGGCTTGTCTCCGCTGTACATACGTCTTGATTTGCTTTGCCTCCCTTCCCTCGGCTCCCTCGTCGGCGCCTTGTACAAAGCGACTTGCTCCCCGTCGTCTCGCACGGGGTTCCCGAAGGAGCGTTCCGCCCCCACAGTGTGCCCAGTGTGCCCACGCTGTCCTCTTTACAGTGCCCCCGCACATGACTCCCTTCAAGCTGGAGGGCCCCGTCAACGCGGGCGACATGGTGGAGCTGGCGTGCCAGGTGCCGAAGGGCGACCGGCCCGTGGCCATCGAGTGGCTACGCAACGGCTCGGACGTACTTGCCGAGACGGACGGCGTGGCCACGGCCATGTTCGGCGCGCACACGCGCTTCCTCACCATCGCCAGCGTGGCGCCGGGGCACGCGGGCAGCTACACGTGCAGGGCCACCAACGCGGCGGGGGTCGCGGAGCACACGGCGTACCTGGAAGTGAACGGTACGGGGAGACCGCCTTTCGCGTGCGGCGTGCGTGTGTGTGGGTTGCTGTGTGCCAAGCGGCGGTTGGATTACTTGTTTACTTTGAGTTTGCTGCCTTCTTTCTCTGTCTTTGGGCCCGCCCCTCCCTGTCCCTCTGCTACACGTACAAACCGGGGGGTGCTTCCGGGAGGCCTTCCAGGATGGCGTGCTAGGGGTGCGCCGTCTGCGAGGTAGCCGGCCAAGCGGTCGCGAACCCTTTCCCTGGTGCCAGGCTGCCTGGCTGACGGTGCCGTGTTTTGCCTAGTCCTCCCCCACATCCTGCCCTTCGCGCTCGACGAGGAGGTCAACATGGGCGACAGCGCGCAGCTCAACTGCCACGTCTCCAAGGGGGACCGGCCGCTCCGCGTCTCGTGGACCTTCCAGGGCCGGCCGGTGCGCGCCGAGGACGGCGTCGAGGTGCTGGCCGTCAACGAGAAGACCAGCATCCTGACCATCACGTCGGCGTCGGCGGCGCACAGCGGCAACTACACGTGCAGGGCCGCCAATTCGGCGGGCGTGTCGGAGCACTCGGCGCCCGTGCACGTCAACGGTGCGGCTCGCTGGTGGAGGCATGCTGTGGCGTGGCGTAGTGGTTTCTGTGCTTGGCCTCTTCTCACCCCCTACCCCTTCCCCTCCCCACACTGTCCCACGCTAGGTCCAAGTCCGCGGTTCGAACCCCGCTCGAAAACGTTCTCTCTCTCCAGTCCTGCCCCACGTGATGCCCTTCGCGCTCGACGAGGAGGTCAACATGGGCGACAGCGTGCAGCTCAACTGCCACGTGTCCAAGGGGGACCGGCCGCTCAACATCTCGTGGAGCTTCGAGGGCGCGCCGCTGTCCCGGCTGGCCGGGGTGGAGGTGGTGCCCATGGGGGACCGCTCCAGCATCCTGACCATCACGTCGGCGGCGGCGGAGCACAGCGGGGCCTTCGAGTGCACGGCGGCGAACCGCGCCGGCGCCGTCACGATGGCCGCCCCCGTGCACGTCAACGGTACTGCCAAGCAAATCGGGCTGGCCGCCCGGCCGGGTGACTGTAGATTGCTCTGGTTGTGGGCGCTGTTCTGTTATTTTGTTATCGCGATTTTGGAAAGCACGTCATTTCCCTCCTCCCTAACTGGCCCCGCCCACTGCCCCTGGAAGATGGTCGTCGTCGTGGTGCTGGTCGCTGCGTGCCGTCGGTCGAGGGTTCGACTCCCGCTGATCGCCGAGCTGTCTCTTTCCCGCAGTGCCCCCGCACATCACCCCGTTCGCGTTCGAGGCCGAGGCGTTCGCCGGCGACAGCGTGCAGCTGTCTTGCTACGTGTCTCGCGGTGACCTCCCCCTCACCGTGTCCTGGCGCTTCGACGGCCGCCTCGTCCCGGGCGGCAACGAGGCGGCTGCGGACGCCAGCCTGCCGCCCGGCATCTCCACGGAGAGGATGGGCACGCGCAACAGCGTTCTTACCATCGAGTCCGTGTCCGCGGCCCACTCGGGGAACTACACCTGCATGGCCAGGAACAAGGCCGCCGTCGTGGAGCACACGGCCCCCCTCAAAGTGAACGGTACCCGCAACTCGCCGCCTGGGACTTCCTTTCCGCTGTGTAGATAGTTGGTGTGTGGTGGTTTCCGCAGATGCATACTCGCCCCCGCCCTCTTCCCTCCCCACCGTGTCCTTCCCCCTACCTGAGAGGTCTGCCTGCAGTTGGGTGCTCACCTTGCTGTGTCTTTGTCAGTTCCACCCAAGATGATGCCGTTCTCTTTCGGAGAGGAAGCGTTCCACGCTGGCCAGTCTGCTACGCTTCAGTGTTCGATTCTGGAAGGCGACCTGCCCCTGACGCTACGCTGGCTGTTCAACGGAGAGCCTATTCCAGCCTCACACCCTGAAATTTCGACCGCCATGTTCGGGAAACGAGCCACAATGCTTAGCATTGATGCTGTGTCTGCAAAACATGTGGGGAATTTCACTTGTGAAGGGAAGAATACTGCTGGTACAGCCAGCTTTTCATCAGAGTTGATTGTTAATGGTTTGTCTTTATCAACAGATATTTTTTCACCGGGCTGGTTGTGCTGTGGCTGTTAATGAATGTAGTGAATTCGGTGTTTGGTTTTGTGGATGTATTCCAAATTTTCTTGTCTAAAACCTAATTTTTATTTTACTGAGTCTATCAGTTACCTTTTCTAAAGGTACTATAAAAAGAAATAGCCAAGTTTCTTCTTTTGAAAAATAGCCTTTCCACATCTCCAATCATTCGGAAACAAGCATGCTATGTTCAAATATGTAGGCTGCTTTGTTCTATGGTTAATTCTTTTATTTGTATTTCTGTTTCAAATTCACTTTTCTTCAGTTCCCCCCAAATTAATACCTTTCACTTTCGGTGAGGACGCATTTCTCACTGGCCAGTCAGTGAGCGTTCAGTGTGTGGTCTCAGAGGGTGACCTACCTGTTCGCCAACGATGGTCTATCAATGGGCAGTATGTTTCCCTTTCGCTCCATGATGTCACCATCAGCAGAATAAACAGACGGATGAGCGTGCTGGCTATAGAGTCGGTCAGTGGCAGCCATGCTGGCAACTACTCTTGTGAGGCAAGCAATGATGCTGGCGTGGCTCGACACTCAACTGAACTCATTATTAATGGTTTGTGACCTGTGCAAACGCCACTTGCTCCGCCAAGTGCTCATGCCACCCCACATGCTTAAGCGCCAATACTCTGTGCCAAAAATGGCGTGTCCAGGTGCATGGAGTGACTTCCCCGCATTCCTAAGACAGGCATTATTTTTTACACTTACCAAATGATAGATGAGACAATTGTAGCAAAAATTTAGTCTGTGTGAAATTACATTCTTAACTCAGATGATTTATTTGCTTTATTTTCTTCATCCAAATGTAGGCTTGAATTACTAATGCCACTGTCTGAGGAATTTAACAATGACTCTGTGTCTGCATCTGCTGTTTTGGAACTAACTTGGAGTTGACTTGGAAAATCATGTTTGTCCTTACCCTTTCTTTGTCTTATGTGTCCATTACTATTGTCTGATGTTGGCTGATGCAAGTGTGACACTGTGTCCTTACTAAGTCGTTGCTAACTACCATTTTCCTTTTCTATTTTATTTTAGTTGGCCCCAAAATCATTCCATTTTCCTTTGGCGATGAGCGTTTTTCTAGTGGAATGTCAGCAACTCTTCAGTGTACTGTCTCTGATGGAGACTTACCTCTGCGGCTTCGTTGGTTGATCAATGGGAGAGTTGTGTCCCGAGCCCTTCATGACGTATCGGTGGCAGAAATAAACCATCGACTCATTCTACTCACAATTGAGTCGATGACAGGCAACCATGCTGGGAACTACACCTGCGAGGCACGAAACCGGGCCGCCACTGCGCAGTACACAACAAGACTTGTTGTCAACGGTCTGTGGTTAACTCATTTGAGCTTGCTGCAAAATTTTTCACAATTTTGTCACATTGGTGTGCAGTCCTAACAGTGGCGGTGGTTCCATGGATTGCTTTTTTTATCGTCTTCTGTGCTGTGGGATACATATGGTTATTGTGGATGACTTCTCTTCTGATAACACTTAACTTAGGCAGAGGATTTACCTTCAAATGGGCAAAAATTGGAAAGACTAACAAGAATATGCTACTTTCCATAATTATTTACTGTACATTATAATAACATTTTCAGGACTGATTTAATTTAAATATTTCAATGTATTATTTCTTTTAAATGGGATTACAGTTCCTCCAAAAATATCCCCCCTGAACTTTGGTGAGGATGTTTTTCAAGAAGGCGAGTCCGCTACCCTGCAGTGCACTGCATCACATGGGGATCTACCCATAGACTTGTCTTGGAAGTTTAATGGCCAGCCCCTATCGGATGACAAGAATGGTGTATCAATCTCATCCATGGGGAAGCGTGTCAGTGTCCTAATGATTGAGCCAGTTTCTGCGGTGCACATTGGAAACTACTCGTGCTTTGCCAAAAATAAAGCAGGATTATCGGTGGAAACTACAGAACTGGCAGTTAATGGTGTGACTCATTAATTTGATTGTTTTGTCACTTTTGTGTTTCCAGCACGCTGTATTATGCCTAGCAAGCATGATTGGATGTAGAGGCTCTAGGTGTATTTGTTGCCCTTTCTTGGAGGATCTTGGTGCTTTTGTTGTCTCTTGTGACTGTGCGAAAACTATTGGACCACAAATTACTCTTTTTTCAGTTCTCCCCAAGATTATTCCCTTTGAGTTTGGATCCACTCCAATATACGCAGGACAAGCTGCCCAAATAACATGCTTTGTTTCGGAGGGGGATCAGCCACTAGAACTGTTCTGGAGCTTTGAGGGGGACATAGTCACGGCTAAGGAAGGAATCAGAACCAACAAGTTCGGCCGCACCAGCACCCTTCTTATAGACCCCACATCTGCAGCTCACACAGGAAACTATACATGCATTGCAAAGAATGCTGCAGGTGTGGTGAACCACACTGCAGCCTTAGATATTTTTGGTACGCCCCATTCAGGAGCATGAAATGAAAGGCTACGATGTTGTGAAGGAGGCGAAGCCTGCGGCATGCACATGTGAATCCCTATCTCTCTGTCTCATCAATTGCAATGTGTTTGAAGCAGTGGGGCATGGTGTATGATGATTGTCTTTTGTGCTCTTGCGAAAGCATGATGTTCGTATGGCATTTTCTGTGAACTAACTTTTCTTCGCAGATTGTCAAGTTATCTATCTAAACTTTAAGACAGGTGTTGGGTGTAGATAGTGTGGAAACCATTGTACTCATGCGGAAAATTACTGCTACATTTCAGTTGAACCAAAAATTCAGCCCTTTGGATTTGATGATGAAGGAGCGATGGGAGGGACCTCGACAAGACTGATGTGTGTGGTGCTGTCTGGAGATCTTCCTATGAATATAATGTGGTTTAAGGACGGTGAAAAAATTGAGAAGAGTAATGCCAAAACTCACCAGCTGGATGACTATACGGCAATCTTATCACTTTCTCAGTTGTCATTATCCGATTCGGGGTCATATTCTTGTGTTGCCTCCAATAATGCTGGCAATGTCAGTCATTCATCAGAGCTGAAAGTGAAGGGTACTTGAGTCATTTCTCAAGATTTTGATGTTTTGAGCTCTTAGCTTTATTTGTTAGACTTACGTTGATGTGTGAATCCTCATTTGTAATATTTTTGTCTTGCATCTTGCTTTGTTTGCAGTGGTTTCCACACTAGACTTAATGTATTGAAACATCCTCCCTATTTTTAGATTGTGCAGAAAGGTGTAGAGCTGGCAATACCCATTATATCATTGGGCTTGTTTTCTTTTGATCCTACAGAAAAACCTCAAATTGAACCATTTTCTTTCAACTCACAAGGAGTAAATGGGGGCACCACAACCAAAGTGATGTGCACAATTCTAGCCGGGGACCTCCCTGTTCATTTCAATTGGCTGAAAGATGGCCTTCCTCTTCAGTCTGATTCTAAACGTATTCAGCAACTAGATGATTTCACTTCCATTCTTTTACTTCCTCGACTTAGTCTTCATGATGCTGCTAACTACACTTGTGAGGCTCGAAATGAGGCTGGAATGTCAACTCATTCTTCAGTCCTACGAGTAAAGGGTACTATAAAGTCATATTTTTTTAAGTTTGTATTCAATTTCCCTTGTTGTAACTTTAGAGTTGTGTGCATTCCAAGTAGCATGCCCACATTTTATTTAAAATGTAGATTTTTTAATTTATTTTTTCAAATCTTGACAGTTTTTTGTTATGTTGAGAATTAGATGCTGTCTATATTTTGCTTTATATGTAATCCCGATTTTAAATGAATTTATTTTCCTCTCATGAACCTCACATTTGTAGCACTGAAAAATGGCGGCTAGTATACACAAATTTTTGGGAAAACTACAAAAGAAAGGAATTGGAAAGGAAATTTGGATAGCACTGAACCTTTTTCTCCTCTGGACAGCACAATCCCAAGCACAATCCTGTCTATAATCACTGAATCGATTCTGTCCTATTTTGTTCCTGATAGAAATTCCAGCCCTTCTGCCACTTTCTTTTTCATCCGATTATGCAAGTGAGGGAGATTACGTCCAACTCACTTGCGTGGCCTCCAAAGGGGATCAGCCTATGACATTTTCATGGACACTGGGTGGCGAACCGATCATACCATCCATGGGATTATCTGCAGTGGCAGTGGGCCGACAAACAAGTTTACTGATTGTTCAGAGTGTCACTTTTCGACATGCTGGCGTTTACACATGCCTGGCTGCCAATGATGGAGGACAGGCACACCGATCAGCAGAACTCATAGTCAAGGGTACAATTGCTGTGTATATCTGCTTGATAATGTTGTATTAAAATCAAAATTCCAAGTAGTGGGCAGCTCCATACTCTTATTATGTACTTTGGATCCAGCCAATCTCTCATACCCTACCCTAACAAGCCATTTATTATTTTCCTAGTTTCCAGAGTAAACCTAGATTCATGGTGGTTGTAATACATAGTTGTTTTGTTTGTTTGCTGCCAAATTATAAAATTCCTGAAATGCTTGTTCCAGAAAGCAAATCATAAAGAGCAACACATTTTTTTCCCTTCTTCCTCTCTATAAGGTCTTGATGCAGAGTTTATTTTTTTATTTGTCTACAGCAATTCTAGGATTGGTCTGCTTGTCTCGTCTTTGAAATTTTGGTGTTGCCGTTCAGTTGCTCAGGTCAACTTTTATCTGCCTTTGTCATCATTCCTGTGAACTACTCTATTTTTGTTTCATCGATTGTATTCGGAACTCCATTTGCTCATAAACATTGGCCAACTTCTCGCAATCTCTGTTCTCAACTCTTGACAACTCAGTGCATTCCTCCAAGAAATAATCCTCCCTTTCCCCTCCCCTTCCCTTTCCCCTAATTTTGCTTGTTATTTATGTTTTGCTTCTGTTTGTATTGTAGATGGTCAGTCTGTAGAAAATTGCATGAGTTGTTGGTAATCATTGTACAAGTGTTGACCTTCATGTTTCCTATCCTTTGTTGTGTTTTGTCTAAAGCATTGTCTTTCAGTTTTTTTTTTGTTTTTTTTCATCTGTTTCTTGTGTGTGGATATGGTTTGTAGTCTGGTGGTTTTAATTTGTATCTGTTATTTGTTAACTTGCATGCCATGTCTTTAGTTTTAACATCTTCTTTTGACAACATTTTATTTTATACTTGATAAGTAATCTATCCAGCGCTGTATCAAATTGTATAAATTTCTTTTGCCTGCATGTCATTGGGTTGTTTTTATTTTGTGTGTTTTTTTTTTGCTGCCTAAAGCTTTGCATGGTTTTAATTTGCATGATAACATTAGTTAATAGTACTTAAATTTGGAATTATGAATGAAGTAATACATGGCTTGGAATAAGTTAAATGAAGCGACAGTGTTTCATTTAAATATCCAGCCCATGTTTCTTGCAGACCACTTTCCATGCTACTGGAAGGTGGTTATGGATCCCTGTACTAATCTCTGTATTGTTCTGCTGCAGTTCCACCCCGCTGGATTCTTGAACCCACTGACAAGGCTTTTGCTCAAGGCAGTGATGCCAAAATTGAGTGCAAAGCTGATGGCTTCCCAAAACCTTCAGTCACATGGAAGCGAGCTGCTGGTATGTAACATTTTTACCCATGTCAATAATTTTAGACGTTTTGGTTTGAAATCAGAACATGGCCTGATAATATTGGAATTTTCAGGTGACACCCCTGGTGACTACAAAGACCTGAAAATGAACAACCCTGATATCAAAGTGGAAGATGGTACTCTGTTCATCAACAACATCCAGAAGAGCAGTCATGGCTACTACCTTTGTGAGGCAGTGAATGGGATCGGCTCAGGACTCTCTGCGGTTATAATGATTAGTGTTCAAGGTGACTGGAAATTTTTCAGAAAATGATGAAGCATCTCCTAAAAGAGAGTGCACTCCCTTTAATAGTTTGTACTGTGTTTCAGCTCCCCCAACTTTTGACATTAAAATGCGCAACCAAACTGCAAGACGAGGAGAGCCATCTGTTCTTCAGTGTGAAGCCAAGGGCGAGAAACCAATTGGAATTCTGTGGAACAAGAACAACCAGCGCATTGAACCGACCAACAACAACAAGTAAGGCATACATCTTATTTATTGCCCAGATAAGAAATGTTATTGGCTTTATTGAGACCACAGGGATTCTGCTGGCATAACCAAGAATCAAGACTAATAAAATCTTAAAATCTTCTAGGTACACTATTCGTGAGGAAAATCTGTCAGATCGAGTTGGATCAGACCTGAGCATCAAACGAACTGAACGAAGCGATTCAGCTCTTTTCTCATGTGTTGCCACAAACGCCTTTGGCAGTGATGACACAAGCATCAACTTGATCGTTCAAGGTTTGTCAATAGAATTAAGTTCGATAGATGTCATACAATAGTTTTATCTGAATTTTCACCACTTCTATTCAATTTTACAGAGAATCCAGAGGCACCTTACGGCTTGAAGGTTTTAGACAAATCTGGCCGCTCAGTTCAACTTTCATGGGCTGCTCCTTATGATGGAAACTCTGCTATCAAGCACTATTTGATTGAGCACAAAGTTTCAAAAGGTGGGATAGCGATGTGGTAGAAGTAGACACTTCCTATAATATCTTTCAGTGTCAGATAAGAAAACTAATTTGTTCTCCAAATAATGCTTTTTAAAAATTTCAGGCTCTTGGGAAATGGACATTGATCGTGTGCTTGTACCTGGACAACAAGTAATCGCTCATGTCATCAACCTGCGGCCTGCTACCACCTACCATGTTCGTATTGTTGCTGAGAACGAAATTGGACCCTCTGACCCATCTGACACCGTCACTATTATAACTGCTGAAGAGGGTAAGTTGGTGAAAATATAAAATTGTTCTTACTAGAAATAGTAAATTCAGGAGTGTAATAACAAAATTTTCTGTAGCACCCTCTGGCCCACCAACAAATGTGCGAGTGGAGTCTACTGACCAGACCAGCCTGAAGGTTTTGTGGAAGCCCCCAGAAAGGGAGGAGTGGAATGGCGAAATCCTGGGCTACTATGTTGGATACAAACTAGCTACTTCGGACAAGAAATATATCTTTGAGACTGTTGAATTCTCCAAGGAAGAAGGAAAGGAACACCATCTAGTCATCAACAACCTCAAGTAAGTTTAGTTGTCAGCTTAAAAATATTATTGTATTGTCAGTCATTTTTGTGTTTTTCTAATTATGATCCCTTTTTTTTTTTAAATGCTATTTAGGACCTACACTCAGTACTCAGTTGTCATTCAAGCCTTTAACAAGGTTGGGGCTGGTCCCATGTCTGAGGAAGTTCGCCAGTACACTGCTGAAGGCAAGCCTGAGATGCCACCAACTGACACCACCTGCACTACTCTCACCTCCCAAACGATTCGTATGCGCTGGGTGTCGCCACCTCTTACCTCAGCCAATGGTGTCATTCAAGGCTACAAAGTTGTATATGGGCCCACGGATACCTGGAATGGTATGAAATACTGTGACTTGTTGCAAGTAATGTAATGCGGTTACAACTGAAGTGCTTTGGTTAACTGTGTTTCCTTTCCTCTTTCCTCTTTATTACCAGATGAAAGCACAAAATTGACCATGAAAACTGCATCTAGTGAGACAATCCTCCACGGACTCCAAAAGTACACCAACTACAGCATGATGGTTCTCGCCTACACATCTGGAGGTGATGGTGTTGCAAGCAGCCCTATCCACTGCCAAACTGAGCAAGATGGTATGTCCTATTATCCCCTTATTTTGCCACTTGAGAAAATTGCAGCAAATCACTTGTTTTACAAATGTGTTCTCTTTTAGTTCCTGAGGCTCCAGCTGCTGTCAAAGGTTTAGTGAAATCTGAAGAGTCAGTGCTGATTAGCTGGAAGGCTCCCACAAGGCCTAATGGTGCCATATCTCAGTACACTGTTTACATGCGAGCCGGAGATGATGAAGGAAAAGATGTCGTAAGTGTCCTCCTTTTTAAGAAAATATTTTTAAAAAATCTGTTGTGCTTTACTGGCTGAAGTTACTTTTCATTTGTTTTTGCAGAAGAAGAACACTGTAGAGTACTCTGAGACAAGCTTTGAAGTTAAGGATATGAAGAAAAATGGCCAATATGAATTCTGGGTGACCGCAAGCACTGTCATGGGTGAAGGCCCACCATCTAACTCTGTGATGATTGCACCAAATGCCAGGAGTATGTATATTAAATTTTGATGTATTTTGAGTTTAGCTACCTGTGCCTTCATTTTTTTAATGTTCTTCTCTTTGCAGTTCCTGCCAAAATTGCTTCCTTTGATCGCATCTTTACTGGCAAATACCGTGAAAATCTGAAACTGCCTTGCCTCTCCGTCGGCCTACCTGAGCCAGAGGTCAAATGGACAGTGAAGGGACAATCACTTGCCCCTGGTGACAACCCACACTTCCGTATTGTTGAAGGAGGCTTGATGGTAATGGGAGTAACTCGCGAGGATGCTGGAGAGTATGTTTGCTCAGTGGAAAATAGTTTCGGAAAGGACACTGTCACTCATCAGCTAGTTGTTCATGGTGCGTTTGGGTGTAATTTATTTTTATTTTTGAGCTCTTTAATCTATTTTAGTTTCAGTTTAAAGACTGCTTGTGTTTATGTATTTAGCTCCACCTCACACACCTCAAATTGTTGTGGCAATGACTACAACCAATTCCATTACAATGAAGATGAAACCACATGCATCGGACAAAGAGCCCATTAGTGGTTACACTGTCCGGTACAAGCCAGAATACGGTGACTGGGAAACTGTGCAAGTGCCCGCTGATGAAGCCAAATACACCCTTCAGGAACTTGGCTGTGGACTAAAATACCAGATGGTTGTCAACGCATTTAACAGGTTTGTGGTTTTGAAAATTTATGCCTGATCAGCGCTTGAATCTGATTAAAATCACAATCTTTTTGCCATCAGCATTGGAATCGGTGATGAGACTGACATCTTGACTGCATCAACCAAAGGCTCCAAACCAATCAGCCCTGAAGCTCGTAACTTTATTGAGGTTCAGAGCACATCTGTCACTTTACATCTAGGAGCTTGGCAAGATGGTGGCTGCTCTATGAATTATTTTGTCATTGAGCACAAGAAGAAGTAAGTTTCAGACTTTTCCAGTACAATCTGCATGTTGAGTGGGTGCTAAACATGTTAGTGTTTCACTCTAAATAATTTGATAAAAAATTAATTTCTTTCTCAGGAATGAGAGGAACTGGAATCAGGTTGCAAACAACGTCAAGCCCAATGCCAATTTTGGAGTTGGTGATTTGGAGCCTGCTCAGTGGTACCATTTACGAGTTACTGCTCACAACAATGCTGGTTTTACTGTGGCTGAGTACGAATTTGCTACCCTGACCGTCACAGGAGGTAAGATTTTTTTTTGTCCTGTTTTCCTTTAATGGATTTTAATTGTCTTGTGTTGAACTCTCTAAAATAATTTTCAGCAAGTGTCATCTATATTCTAAGTTCTATTTTTCTTTTGAAAAATTAATTTTTTGGGATTGTCAATTTGTTGATTTATGTTACGTTTTGAGGTGAAATCTAATCAACCTGAAATATTCCAAGGCAATTCTACTCATGTTTAGTACTTTACACCTCTGTTCTATCACGAACTATCCCTTATGGAAAACTAGATTTTTTTGGACCAAATCCTGAGCTAACACCTTGGAATGTTTCAGGTACTATTTCCCCGCCTAGAGACATGACTCAGAGCAATGCAGAGACCCCTTTGACGTTCATTCTTGCAAATTTGAATCTGGTGGTGCCAGTGGCTGCTGCGACTTTAGTCATCATCATCGCTATAATTGTCATTTGCGTCATGAAGGGGAAAAGCTCTCAAGATAAAGGTGAGCAACAGGTTGTTCCAAACATTTTTCATTTTATTTTTCAGGAACTATTGCCCCGCCAGAACGAGGCCTCATCAATGTAAATGAATATTTCCCCTGGATCCCAGACTGGATGGACTTGAACGTAGTCGTCCCAGTGGCCGCTACCATTGTAGTTCTTTTGGTCGGCATGATTGTAATTTGTGTGGCTATTTCCCGACGCTCTCGTGGCCCCGAACAAACTCGCCTGAGAGGTACTTGCTAGTGTAAAATACTAGCACAGCTTTTATTGGAGAGGAAGAGCCTCTTGTGTTCATAACCATCAACTTGTCTGATACTATCTGTAGCAATTAATATTTTTGCTCTGGGTGTTATACATTTTAAATTATTGGATGCAAATTTATATGTTTGCGCATTTGCAGATGATGTTGTCTACAACCAGTCCATGCCCGGCACAATGGGCCAAACAATGGGCAAGCAGCGACCTGATCTTCACGACGAGCTTGGCTATATTGCTCCACCCAATCGCAAACTACCTCCAGTACCTGGCTCAAACTACAATACCTGTGATCGTATCAAGAGAGGTACTAATATAAGTAAGGTCATCGCGGGGGGACCGCGTTTCTCACGATTCTATTTTTCATCTTGCCTGCTGTCGTTGTCGTTGGCTGCTGGTTGTTGTTGTTGCCGTTTCCTCTCTGAGCTGTTCACCATCGTCGATCTGTATGTAGAACTAGCTTTTCAATTCATCAATCAGTTGTTACGACTTCTCAAGTGGTGCCCCTCTATTTTCTGCTGGGGCACACTTGATCCCAGGTTTAAGAAAGATTACAAGACGTACATAACAAAGCACACATTTCATTAAAACAGCACTACAATTGTCTTACATTTTGGAGCAGTTCTTCACAACTTTTAACTAATTTTCATTCTGAAGGATACATATTCCAACCCAAGCACAATAATCAATAAAGGCTCCAATGTGTGGGTCATCTGCATGTCGGTAAGGAAAAGTTGCTGTTCTTGCTGCGCTGCTTAGTTGGTGAAACAATCTATTATTTTCTAGATTTTCTACTAAAAAAAACATTTTTTATTAAGCACAATAGATACATTCTTATTTCACATTAGAAGCCTGATCTAGTGTCTCACCATGAAGAAGTATTATTTTCATCAATCACCTTTGTTAGGGTTTTCAACAGGGTTGTTTTGTTGGGTTTTTTGTTTCTTTTTTGCGGAGCCAGAGGAGGAATACCGTGGAATGTCACTTCGGTCTTCTGTCTATGTTGTCTTTCTTTCGTGAGAAGAAACGAAACGTCCCCCTTGCGATACTTGTAATTTAAGAATTAATTTATCATGTTATATTGTCCTTGTAAGAATCAACTGCAAACACCCAATGGTGATAATTTGGTTCACACTCTACAAATATCTTTTGGATGTAGAGTGACCATCCTTGAGTCATGCAGTTTTGTATTTTTTCCCCTTAAATCAATTCTAGTGCTACAGTATATGGTTTTATTTATAAAACCCCCAGTAGTCTTTGAAGCAGCTCCCATGCTGCTGCTGCAGGATTCCTTTGAGGAGTGGTCTTTCATCACAGACCTGCTAGGTTTACGTTTCCAATGAACTTAAGCCATGCGCTGTTTTGATTGACAATAAATCGAAGGTTTTCCTGTGTTTGCTTTACGCTGTTGACCCCAAGCTCTGCCTTGCCTTACGCTTGAGGCCACCTTACGCTCCTCCATCCTCACACCCCTATCTGTTAAATCAGGTCATTCATTCAGAAGCCCGCATGCCACTTGGGACCCTCGCCGCCACCTGTATGAGGAACTAAGTCTGCACCCACCTGGTGTGAGAAGACTCCCCCCCTGTCCCGGCTCCGATGGAACAGTCAATGGCAGAGGTATGAGGAGACCCGTTACCTTTTACATTTGATTCTGATTCAGTGATAAGTAATTTATTGGAGTCTTTGAGAACTTGGATGAAGTACCAGTTTTATTCTCTGTAATGTTATTGGAAAGTTCAGGTCCATGTGGACCAATGTAACCATCACTAACACTGGTATTGTAATATTTTGGTGCAAGTGCTTTTTGTTGCATTGTGTGGAGTTGTAATTGAACATTTCTGACTTGGGGTGATATTAACATTCATGAAGCATAGACAAAAGGGGTATTCATTCATTCTGAATACAGTAAACAGTTTGTCTTATTTTTAATTGGGAGTGTACATTAAAATATATTCATCAGGTTAAAGGTATGTGGGTACAACTTGAAATATTTAGGATTTCTGAAACTCGTTCTAAAACAATGAAATGTACTCAAATAGTTGTGGTTTATGTCTTTGGGCTTATCAGAGACACCTCAGGCAAAAACAGGTGAGTTCTAACTTTAGTGCTTTTAGAAGATCAGCATCACAGCCCTAAAGCAACACTCAAGTTCAACTAGTTTCACTTCTAACCCTGCTTTATTTTTAGCTTTGCTCTAGTTCATTTTTATTTTTTAAAGTACAGTATTCCTCGCATGCAAATTAGATTAGTTCCTCTTCATGTTTGCTTTCAAAACAATAGTTACTGCATTTCAGTGTTTTTTTATAGAAGAAACCCTACTACTTGTTATTCCTTCTGCATTTTGATCTTGATTTTGTTATATTGTGATCCTGTTAATCAAGTTAACGTTGCAAACTACTTGCAGGAGAAAGTGTCTTCTTTGAAGGACTAAGTGAGACATTAACTCTAGTAGACTTCTACCTCTGCACTAGGCCTGTCAGAAAATGAGAAAAGGCTAAAGCCTTAAAAAACACAGTACTGAAATATAGGCATGACAAGTACTTGCAGACATCAGAAATCTTTTTAGAATAATGGATGATAAAAAAAGATAATGTTATAGAATTTCTCTTTGGTTGACACTTTTGAATGTGCATCCAGATCTTCTTTTAGACATCAATAATAGTGTCATACTTTGTGTTTATTTGAGATATTTCATATCACCATTAGTAAGAGATAAACTAAACAAAAGAACTCCTGTTAACACATGTCAAGAGACACAATTTTTTAACAATTTATTTTCTCTAATTTATCTCTTAATTTTTTTATAGGCATGGAAGATGAAATTTGCCCCTATGCAACATTCCACCTCCTTGGTTTCCGTGAAGAAATGGATCCCTCCAAAGCCATGCAGTTCCAGACATTCCCTCACCAGAATGGAACTGGACACTCGGGCACTATTGGACCAGGCGGAATGGTGAATGGAGGGACAATGGGTCACATGCACTCCCGATCAGGATCTCAATCAATGGTGTGTTACGTTTGCCTGATTGTGCCTGTGTTGTTTGATTGAAAAATATTTACTTTCTTTGTTTTGCCCTTTCAGCCAAGAGCCAACGGCCGCTACTCCCGCGTGGGTGGTCAGGGAGGCCACAATAACACTTTCTCACCTGAGTATGACGATCCCGCCAACTGTGGTGATGAGGAGGACCAGTATGGCAGTCAGTATGGACCATATGGCAACCCCTATGATCATTACGGAAGTCGCAACTCAGTGAGCCGGCGTAGCGTTGGTACGTTCCAAAACACACTTACTTTCAGACCAGCAATTCATTTTAAAGGATACTTGTGCTTAACTTTATTTGGGGCCTCTGTTAATTTTTTAGGATCAGCAAGGAATCTGCCTATGTCAAGTAGCCCTGAGCCGCCGCCACCACCTCCTCGCAACCACGATCCCAATGATTCTAAAGACTCTAACGAGATTTCGGAGGCTGAGTGTGATCGCGATCAGCTTGTGAACCGCAGCTATGGTGGTGAGTAACGACTATTTATGGATTGAGATTCATTCTAGGGTTAACAGAATATCAGTCTTAAAGATATTGTATGGTCTAGAGAGGGTACAGTCTTGTGGGGAAATTTTCCATTAGGTCACTAAACAATATATATTTAAGTGCCTTTCATATTTGACACGGGTAAGTTTTACAGATTGATGAGTTTTGTACTTTGCAGCATGTAGTAAGGTTGGCTCTGTAGATATAATTAAACTGTCTCTTCATTTGTAAGCTTTCATTTGTACCAGGGTGTTGAATCTCATATGAGTGTGGTATTTTAGCTGTAATTACAATGTAAAGATTGTGTTTGTTAATTTTTTTTAAACCTTTTTTTAATTAATTTTTTTTTATGTTGAACGGCTGCAGTTCAAAGCATACCACAGTCCATCTATCTGACAGTTTTATTGGCACGAGGCTTTTTGGACAGAAAGTGTACAACCATGGAGACAAGCTTAGTAGCTTGACTCCATGGTAGGTATATGAATCCAAAACTCTACTATACTTTTCAATATAATCCAAAAATTATCTAGCCTGCCTCTTATATTGTATGTACAGTACTTTCTCTCTTAATACCAAGAGGGGTTCCTCTCTTTTTTCTCTGACTCGATCCCCTTTTTATCATTATTTTGAACAACAGTGTAAAAACTGTGAAAATATTGAAGTTGATCCCTATAATTACTTGAATGTGTCCTGTTGTGGCTCTGTTGGTAAGAGGTGAAAGATTTGTGTTCCAGCCAGCTAACATATACATGTCCCAGTGTAACTAACAAATTGTGTGTGTGCTTATGGGGCCATGGTGGCGCATCGCAACTTTATTCTTTTGTGCACTTTCTCTTCTATTTATTTCTTTGCACTTATTCACAAATGCAAGCAGTCAAGGAAATACATACAGTTTATGTATTATATATTATTTATGCTACCGACATTTATGCTAAGCCAAGCTTTATCAAATATTACATCTTTATAGTAATGACCTTCTCTTAACCATCAATTAATGTTTCAGTTTGATAATAATAATAATTTATAGGAGCTTGGATGTGAAACAGTTTTCTTTCACCCTCCAAATATAAGTATATAGCTTTTTTACCAAGAGCTTTCTGACTACAGAATAACCTAAGCTTGTGATTGTGTTCAACAAGGGTTCAACCTTTACATCACAGTTTTTTCACAACATGTTATGACGAAACTTTGCAGCTCTTAATGCACTGTTTACTTGTCATGACTCAAATCTCTCTTTTTGCTTTTTTTTACAAAAATTTATTTACAGTGAATGTGAGGGCCAACTCCAAGGATGGCATGACCACCGAGGAGATGCGCAAGCTCATTGAGAGGTGAGAACAGAACAGGGTTCAATTTGTGACGGTGGTGGAGCTTCATCTGAGGCTTACATTTTTGTGCGACTGGCATTCCATCTAGTTGTGACTCTGCTGGTTTGGGATGACTTTGGTTCCTTTCTCAACAACACAGTACCAGTACCTTAGCTTGATCTAAACCTGCAGAATGAATCCTGTCATCCACCTCCATGCTGTAATACTAACCATTATTTTTATTCCCGACTAAACAACACTACAGACAACAAACTATGCTTAAGACTCAAGTTTGTTGATCTGTATGGTACATGGTACTGGCAATCTTGCTGTAGGTCCTTGACCTTTTGGCTTTGTCAAGTCTCTTCCTCTCTTTTGGTAAACGGTTACAAATGTTAATATTTTATTTTCCACTTTTTTTTGTTGCTGTTTTTAAATCCTTTATTTAAATGTGTACCTTTGCTTCTTACAACAACTTTTTTGTATAGAGTATAAATTTGAAATATCATGTCCATATTGCATGGTTTGCTGCAAGTATTTTATCTAAAATTTAGGTTTGGTAGTATGTCTGTACATTAGTTTACGGGGTGGTCAAGGGTTTAGTATGAGGAATAAACTGCATGCCAGCATGTTTGTCTCTAACAACCCACTTCCCAGGGATTTTAGGAATCTTTTGACAGTTCATCTTAATACTCTGCCTGTGAGCATGTGTAATCTATTCACCTGATTTCCTAAACTTGTGAAGACTCACTCAACAGCTACTAGTATTGAAAAATATCCGACAGGTGTTGCCAGATATCCTTCGGTCAATGTGTCTTTTGACTGCCTTGTAGCAGTCTGGATGGTTTATGCAGGGCAACAGAGGGATTATTACTGGAAACTGTTTTGACAAGTATTTTGTAGTTTTGCTTAGCTGCATGATTGTATTCTGTTAAGTTGGGCTCTATCTTCTATGTACTTACTTAGCGATTTTTTTAACCTAGTAAAGCTTTGATGAAATTGTATAATCATGATTGGTTTTTAATTGATGGGCTCATTCTCAACTTGAAGCGTTTCAAAGCAGAAATATTACGCTTTTTCACGGCTCAAATATCTTAGCTCATTTTTTACAAGGGTTCTGGACTGATAGTTTACCAAATGTTTTTTTAATCGATGCTGTATTTTAATCAACTGTGACTTTGGTGCTGAGTAGAACATATTTTTTAACTTCAATGTCTTTTGCTTTCAGAAACGAAGCAGGCCCCCACCAACAACACCACCAAAACGGACTCACAGCCTACGATACTGTGGCAGTGTAATCTCTGAATCTCCACTCACAATGTACCAAGCCGGTACAACAACTGTGTGCCATACATAGCGTTATGAGGTGTAAATTAAATACGCCTTGCACATCGCCAGACCATCACCTCAAACATACTTGAGGATAGTGTTACTCTTTCAGTGTTAACAATCAAAACATTTCTCAATGTGTTCCTCTAAGAACCACAAATTTTTCCCTTTTTTTCCCTTCCCTCTTAAGGACTGAATCTTCTTATTTCATCATTCATGTCACAGCATCTTATATCTGAAAATATTATCAACCTTCTGTAATATTTGTGTCACTCCTTACGAGCAACACAAGAAGTTCAATGTCTATGCCGTAAAGTTTTTCATAGCTTTAGCTTTCTTGTATGCGTCATTTAATCAGTTTAAAACTTACCTAGGGAAAGGAATGCTTGAAAAGTTTTGTCAGCATTGAAAAATGTGAAAAGATAATTTCTGAACTTTGGCTGAGATCTTAAAATGATAGGTTTACCCTGTATGATATAAATACCATATTGTTTAGTCAGTAGAAGTCTTTTGTGTTATATTTCATTCTCCTGCTGCTCTTTGTTTATATTGTTTGTTTTTATTTTGAGTATGATTGTTTATTGACTTATTGGTGTGTATACGTGCTACAGTATGATCACTATTGTGCATGGGCGTGGACTCAATACTCTGTGTTTTACAAGAGTAAAGACAATGACACGCTCTCTGCAGTCAAGTCGCATGCCAAATTTATTATACATATTCATATATTATGCTATGTACAATATACTCATTATACAGTGTGTCCATTAAAACATAATATTTGTGTGAGTAAAATTAATCACAAGCAATGAGGGGTTAGTAACAAATGACATCATGTTTTTTAGTCTAATTTTGAATTACTCATCCCTAGTCAAAACTGGGCCCCTCTTGGCCAGTTTCTTTCAATTTCTTTCTTATAGTTGGACATTGCATACCATGATACTTCCATTAAACTATTGCAGTATTGAGTAACTGTGTTCCTTGCCATATTGCAAGGTCATGTGGTTTTACTCTTGAGGCGTTGGCTGCTATTGATGTGAATGTCCATCTCTTTGCATGTTCGTGATGTCATTTGTGACGACCCCCAAATAGATTGATGCGTTTGGAGGAGTGGATCAGGATTAATGTTGCTCGTTTTGTAGGGATTATAATAATCAAGTTAGCTCTAGCAGTAGATTAAGCATGAAGAAAGGAACAGGGCTGAGACGTCAAGCAAGCTGGGCCAGTCAAGGTGATTGTCACTGGATCACAACAAAATGAGCTCTTTTGCTTTCTTGGTGCTGAGCGGATTCGAATATGTACCATGTCCGGTCTATAGTGTGTGGTAAATAGAACAAAATTCATTCAATGGGATGCACCATACACTGGCTCTAGCATCACAGCTGAGGTTTTGAAATGCTAATTGATAGCTCTGATGTGGATGGCATGCATTATCACTCAGCTGAACTGACACGTGTATTTACCCAACTATTAATCCTGATATGTTTCATCTAAATGTGTTAATTTCAGTGGGGCTTTTAAGTCTCTGTGTCTCTTCCTATTCCAATTATCTATGATTCTTGTATCATTCTTGGGCACACTGTGTGTGTTTGGTTTTCAAGTAAAGCTCAACATGTGACATGTGATATTTTGTCCTGAATTAAGTTAATATTTAAATTTTTTTAACTTTTTATTTCTGATTGTTGTATGTAGTACTTGCTGAATGGCAGTCACCCAATGGTTTCATTTAATTTATAATTGTTATTAATTATGTGTGGATTGATGGTAGCTCTAAATTGACACCTGTAATGGTTAGTCCCGTACTACGGAGAAGTATGAGACTGGCAAGGGGCAACATTGATGTCACTGCCAAGTGATAAATATGCGTCCGTACTTATCACAGAAACAGCGATTGACAAGAATTCTCTTCTCGTAGCACTCCGGGCGATGACTGAACTTTGCATTTTATTGACTTTCAACTCCAAAGAAATGTTAGACTGCAAAGAACTTTCTCACTTAAAGACATTTTGTTTTGTCCCTGACTCCTTTATTTCTTTTTGTGTGTCATTTTTTGTTGGTCTTTTGAGTTAATTGTGTTCACCTAATCGTGTCTGGCAAGTTTAAACCGAGCATCCTTTCTCCCAGTCAGGGAGTAAGTGCAATGCATTGTATTGTGTATGTGCAGTTTGACCGGTGGAATGACAGACCAGTACTCACTGTGATAGATGTGCTGGTTTTTTTAATGATATGGTGCTAAGTGGTAAGGAAGAGAAAGGTAACAATTCTCTTCTCCCTTCAATTGTCGGGTATTTATGTCATGTCTTGAAGTGAGAAGTGGCACTGCAGATTATCTTGTACTGAATGATATTTGTTCCTCCTACAATGGAGGGAAGACCGTATTGAATGGGGATAACTACAATCAAATGTAAGACTCATAGTATTCAAAGAAAATCGAATGAGACCAAATCTCATTGATATTCGTAAATTAAATACTCAAAATTGGGTCAGCCCAGCACCAGAATGAAGGTTATTAAAGCTTGATAGCTATCTTGAAGTGCAGATGATATTCTATTCGCTCATATCTGCAGTTTTCTAATTAATTTTAATGCAGCATGTTATGAAATATCCACCTTATGAAATGAAAATTTCGCCAAGTTACTCTGTAAGTTTCTTTTCGTAGTCAATACTTGAAACTATGTAGTCCTTGGCTTAGCAAAACTTAATGAATTTAATCATATTCATTCAATTTGTATTTGTTTCTATGAGTTTATTTCATGTATTTCTGTGTGTCCTTACCATATGGAGCAGTTCCATATTACCCATTAAAATTATTAGTGTAATGCATACGCCCTGTGGGCCCCTATCCTAGAAGACACACGCTTCTATCATTTCTGATCTGATTCGCATTCATGAAATGCTTGATGTATTGCCCCAGTGCTGCATTTTTCAGTGTCAAACTACTCTTTACCTAATAGTCTCTTATAATGTACAAAGTATTTTATTCTCAACAGTGTATTTGTATTCAAGTAATACAAAAACATTTACATTTAAACTTTGCTTGGATGGCTTTGCAAATTTTTTATTAAATGTAATGCTAAGTTTAGTATAAGTGCAAGTTATGTTTTAAATAACTTAGCTATCTATGTATTATATTATATGTCATTTTACTTCTTTTGAGTTAAATGGGTGTCAGAATGCAGGTGCAGAGATGGAAACGGATTTGCTCTATTTGATGAGGGGCTGTGATGCCTTTTAGGAAAAAAAAGATCTTGTCAGAGTTGAAAGCCTTTTCTAGCATTTCAATCTGGAAGTCAGGAAATCAATTTGAGGAAAAGTTAGAATGATGAATTTTAAAAACTATTTACTACACTTTACAGTTGGTAGCTTTACTGTGAGCGTAATTCTCACAAATACTTTTTCTGTCATAAGGTACAATATGGAGTAAGTGTACATGCCAACTGTGCTCTCTCCCTAAAAAGAGATACATTTGCTCAAGTAAGGATTCAAAGAAGTGGAACTTTAAAAACAGAAAAGTCAACCTGCTGCACTTTTGTCTCACTCATTGGCACAAGTAGAATATTCTTGCGAATGTTTGAAACTCGAGTGTTTGCTCTCCAAAGTGATAAATTTGACGTGATATGGGTTTCATGGAATTGGATCGAATGAAGAGGAAGGATGGAGACAAATCAGAGGAAAAGAAATTTGGAGGTGAATTGTGGCAACATTAATTGTGCTTTAAGCATAAATGATAAGTATTTTTTTGATGTGGGATTTAACACCTTGATTTTACCTTCCTTGACCACTACACTAGTTTCTGCTCACTTTTAGGTTTATTACAGTGCTGTAACATTTGTTCCTGGATGTGAGTAGTAACAGTTAGTAATTGTCTTTCCTCTTCATTCTGGACTTGAGCAGTGCTAAGCACAGTACAGTATGTTAACAGCTAAAATAGCGGAAGGCTTCCTTTTGTATCCTCCATGTAAGTTTATCCGTGGGACTGTGATGTTTCATTAGCTTAATGGGAAGCGTTCAGTATGCTGTTAGCAATTTCATCAGGATGCTGAGCATGAAGGCACAAAGGATTGTAAAGTGTCGACTTTTGCTTCCTGAGAGTCATCATGTTTGGGGGTCTTAGTCTCACAAGGAATCGAGCTCTTCGGTATTTTATTTATTCTTTGCCTTTTTGTCTTGTACATTTTGTATAATTTTAGCAATACTTATTTGTGTTGTATGTAACATAAATTTAACCATATTAGTTTGATTGCTTAATGGTTTTCAATCAAGCCTACCTGTGATGCTAGCAATTCGTCATACTTGTATATGATTTACAAGAGGAATGAAATGAAAAGATTCTCAATATTTGGGAGCTCACCAGTGCTTCATGAATTTGTTTGAAACAATGGAGGCTTTGCTTCGTGGACATTTATGATTTTAAGTATGGAGCCTTTATATTTGTTCAGTTTTTCTTTCTTTGCCTGTCTTTCTTTGTTTTACTTGATAACTATTTGTTTGAATAAGGTTGACTGTTATGCCAGCAGAGGATGGAAGCACCCTGTGTAACCCTGTGGGCTGGACTCCTAATACGGAAGCTATTTGTACCAAAGTTGTAGAGTGGGTAGAACATTTGTGTTAATAAATTATAAATTAAATTTCTCCAGTATATTTTCATGTATCCTATAGTCCAAAAATATGTCTCGAGATCACAAACATTTTTCTACACTAGCTAGAAAATAAATAGGGTAAATTGGGTCTGCACCCAGTGAAGGGAAGGTCGCTTAATACCCTCAGGCGATGATGGTTCGGTTGAGAATTTGGTCGGGTGCCTGGAACGCCACCGGGAACGAGTCCTCCGGCATCAACATGCCTTTAAAAGAAACACCAAAAAATATTTAAAAACTGAAAACACTTACAGGGACTGAGCTGTCGATGCACAGTGGGTCAGAAGACCGGTGCGGGCGGTCAAAATCCCCGACACGTTTTGAGCTGCAGAGTCGCTAACCGAACGTGTGACCCCCACCAATGGATTGCTCTCCGAACGAGGAATGCATTGGTGGGGTCACACGCTTCGTTCGAGTCCTGTTTAGTCACTCTGGAGCTCCAAACGCGTTTAGAGTTTTGGCCGTCGGCGTCGGTCTTCTGGCCCACTGTGGAACACTGAGCTGCGCCGAGCTGTCTGCCGACCTCCGATACTGGCGGTGATGCAGCAGGTGACGATGCCCGTGACCAGCGACCGCAGGGCCACGTCGGACACGGTGGTCCTGGCCGAGGGCGCGATGGCGGACAGCACACTGATGAGGATGGCGAGGGAGCCCAGGTTGGCGAAGCCGCACAGCACCAGCGTGCTCACGGCCAAGGACCGCGGCTTGGAAGAGGAAAACAAAGTTGAATTTTTTTGCCTGTGGTTCCAGACACTATTCCGAGGCTGCGTCGGTGGGTCCGTGGCTCCCTGCACTGTGTGTGTTGTCGAACCTACCGACAGAAGGTTCGCCGCCTTCATGTCCCCCATCCGCTGGAAGGCGACGAACTCGTTGACGACGGTCTTGAGGCCCACGAGGGTGGCCACCCTCTCGCACTCGGAGGGCTCGACGCCCATGAGCCACACCACGGGCACGAACAGCTTGGCCAGCAAGAACTGCAGGGAAAAGTAAAGGGTGAGAATCAAGCTGCGCGTACGCCTTGGACTGACTTCTCGCCTACCTCGAAGGAGAACTCCTGCAGGCCGACGAGTCCTCCCAGCCAGGCGACGACGCTGTTGACCAGGTAGAGCAGCGACACGAAGGCCACCAGGTTGGCGGCGATGTTGAGCACGATGTTGATCCCCGCACTCGCGCCTCGCGCCGCCGCGTCGATAACGCTGCCGTCCTCGTCCTCTGCGCTGCACAGTGGGCAAGAAAACCGGTGGAGGCGATCAAAATCCCGGACGCGCTTTGAGCTCCAGAGTCGCTAAGTGGGACTCGAACTCTGAAGCTCAAAACGCGTCTGAGTTTTGGTCACATTCGCCGGTCTTCAGGCAAATCCACTGAGCGCTGCCGGACCTGCCGGACCCGACGAGGTGCTCGGCCGTGGTCCGGGACTCCTCCGTCTCGGGCAGCAGCAGCTTGGAGTAGGCCAGGGCGCCGGTGGCCGACATGACGGACGCCGTCAGGAGGTGTCCGGGATCCGCGCCGAAGGAGATGTACGCCGCCAGCACGGACCCTGTGCACAAGGTAAGCACTCCACTGTTCAACTGTGCTGCACTGCAAGTCTCGTAGAGGTGCGAGAGAGACAGAGCGATGAAAACGACTCTCGGAAACAGTCTGTAGGGCGTGGACGTACCCGAGGCGGTTGCGAACCCGGTGCCCATGACGGCGTGCAGCTCGGAGCTGGTGAGGCTCTCGATGTAGGGCTTGATGAGCAGGGGGCTCTCCGTCATGCCCAGGAACACGCTACCCGCCGCGTTGACCGACTCGCACACCGTGGTGCCCATCACGGCCTGCAGCAGGCCGCCCACGCGGCTCACCACCCACTGCATGACGCCCAGGTAGTACAGCACCTGGATCAGGCTGCTGAAGAAGAAGACGACGGGCAGCACCTGCAACCCGAGGGACGCGACGACCGGGGTGATGGCAGGACTCTGGACATGGACTACGGGCACGGCCGGTCAGCACAGCACAGTGGGCCAGAAGACCGGCGCCGGCGGCGAAAACTCTAGACGCGTTTTTAAGCTCCAGAATCGCTAAATGGGACCCGAAACGAGCGTGTGACCCCACCAACGGATTCCTCGTATGGAGAGCAATTCATTGGTGGGGTCACACGTTCGGTTCGAGTCCTGTTTAGCGACTCTGGATCTCAAAACGCGTCCGGGATTTTGACCGCCTCCACCGCGGTCTTCTTGCCCACTGTGGGCGGGCGAGCAAGGCGCACCTTGAAGGCGAAGACTGACTTCTCCGCGACCAGCATGTCGCCGAAGACGAAGGCGGAGCCCGTGTCGGCGCACCGCAGCAGGGCCGCCACCTTCTCGGCCAGGCACTCCAGGGCGGTGCGGCCCTGCGGGAAGCGGATGGTGAGCAGCCCCATGAGGAACTGCAGCAGCAGCCCGGTGAGCACGGGCCGCCAGCGCACCTGCCGAGCGAGCGGAGCGCAAGCAGCTGTCAAGGGCTCCGCACCCTTCGCACCCACGCCGCGCGCTTTGAGAGCGAGGACAGCGACGACAGCGGGCCAGAAGACCGGTGCCGCCGGCATTTTGGCGTTTTGAGCTCCTGAGTCGCTAAACAGGACTCAAACCGAACGAGTGACCCCACCAATGAATTCCTCGTTCGGAGAGCTATTCATGGGTGGGGTCACACGTTCGGTTCCAGTCCAATTCAACGACTCTGGACTCTGGAGCTCAGAACGCGTCCGGGATTTTGACCGTCTCCACCGGTCTTCCGGCCCACTGTGCGGTGTTGACGTGACTTACTTGCCTCGGGTGGCGAGAGAAGGCCCATCCCAGCGCCACGAACACCAAGACCCCGAGCAAGGACACCAGCCTGCGCACGTCGCCGCCGATGTCCACCAGCAGGAGGGCGAGCAGGGCGACCAACGCCACCGCCAGGGCGGACCAGCGCAGCGCGCGCCGCCCGAGGCACGGTGAGACCGTCCTCCTGAGGGGCTTGGTGGTGCGGAGGAGCCACGGCAGCGCGTGCGGCTTGAGCACGGCGTAGTACCCCAGGCCGAGGTAGAGGGCGCTGAGCACCAGGATGAGGAAGCCCAGCCCCTCGCAGAACTGCAGATCTTGAGCTCGGCCCGCTTTCACTAAAACGGAAACAACAAAGTAAATTTGAAAAAATAAATTTAAAAAAAGGAGGTTGTTGTCCTTTACCTTGACTCTGCCAGTGCAGCACGGCGAAGGCGATGTAGACGGCGACGAGGGTGTGGCCCGCCACCACGCTCGCGCGGTGCGCGGCGGCGCGGTGCTCGTGGAGCCAGGCGCGCTTCCGGTGCAGCCACATCCGCACCTGGTGCAGCGACGGCGACGGGCCTGGCGCCTGCTCAGCCACCTTGCCCGCACTGCCTGGGGCCCGGGAGGCCCCGTTGACGGCGACCTGCATACCCTGCAGCGTCGAGGGTTTCACTCACCCACCACGATTTGGGAGTCGAGAAAACGATCCGAAAATCGTGACGACTTCGCACCTGTACCTCCTGGTCCTGCTGCGTCTTGCCCTCGACGTCGTCGTGGCCGTCCGCGTCCACGGCGTCCACGCAGCGCACGCCCGTCAGCCGCAGCTCGTCCTTGGACACGTCCTCGGACACGCCCTTGGACACGTCCATGCCGGCGCCTGCAGCAGTAGAGAGCGACAGAGAACTAGTCTGCGACTTTACGGACTTCACTTGACAGAACAACAGATTCTGGTGCGCGCGCTGCGCGTGGACGGGTGGGCGGGTTGCCTGCACTTGCGGTGACAGGCGCCCAGACAGACGGACTGACAGACAAACAGAGCGGAGCTTTGGATTACAAGGGACGGCGCTGCATCCGCGAGGATGGCCTGCTTTGTCTTCGTCATACCCCTAATCGCGGTTTATCAGAAGCCCGAGGCGTTCTGGCATACAAGGAAGACTTTGTGTTAACCGGGAAAAATTATGCCAGGTATAATTTAAAAAAAATATATATAAATATTTTTTTGTGAAGCGGAAGGCCTTCTTGGTGTCCGCCCTTATCGACACGGCAGCATGTGGCGTGCCAACTAGATGTTTGCACGCGGGGGGAAGAGGGAGAGAGCGGAGGATAGACCATGAATGAGCTCGTAGTATACAGCGACCATTTCTCGGCATGACAGATAGCGCGCGTCAAACTAGTGGCGCCGCAGTTTAGGGAAAAGGCGCGCCTTGCCAAATGTGACCGCACGGAGTGGAGCGGACTGTACCGGGTTGCCGAAAAGGACTCTCCAGAGCGGTCGCCACGCGGTGGGCCCTCGGAAACACCGTCCGAATCGTCCCGTTAGATTGATTCCCTCGAGTTGGACAATATTAACAACGCCCCAGTCCGACCGATGCGACGCTCTGTCTCTCTCGCACTCACGGCTGGGCCAGAAGGGGTGCGAAAGAGACAGAGCGACACTTGTCCCTGCCATTGACATTGAAAGGCGACGCCGCATCGCGGCACTGACCTTCCCCCAGCTGATGCTCTGTCTCTCTCGCACGCCCACGAGTGCGAGAGAGACAGAGCGACGATTTCGGAACGAGCCAGACAACAAGTTGCGGCGTTGATCCTGGCGCCTTCGGCCAGTTCATTTCATTTGGGGCCGATGGCCAGTGGTGACGCTTTGCACTCTACTCTGCAGCCAATAAGAGGGCAGCTTGGAGTGGAGCGCGTCCGCCCCGGCCAATGACTGCGCGCCCGCGGACCTCTCGCATCATCTGCCGCTTCTGCCCCCCGAAGAGGTTCCCCCTCGGGTTCCCCGAACGAAAGGAGGAGGGGGAACGCCCAATTCTCGCACCAATTATGGGGCATCACCAACAGTCTCTTCATTTTCCATATCGTTTTTCGGGAAGTTATTCAGATTCTGGAGGGCGTGCGACGTCGCCGGAGCGACCAGACGCGTCGTTCAGGGTTCTGAATTCGATTTACTTTGGAACACGAGGCTGCTGACTGCCGCTGTTGCGGACGCTTGTTCTTTTACCTTTAGCTCACATCAAAATGCTCTGGAAATCAACCGCTCTCATTGTATTTTTTTAAAATCGACTTTACATACAAAACACATCTACCCGCTTATGAATTCTCCGTAAAAATAAAACGGAGTGCAAAGTAAATGAAACAACTCTTGTTTTTCTAGTGATTCGAAAACACCCTGCCGGTGAAAGTAAACGTCAGAGCTCTGCGCGCAGAGAGCCAGAAGACCGGCACGGGCGGCCAAAAAAATCTCAACGCGTTTTGAGTTCTAGAGTCCCTAGGACGCGAACAGGACACGTTCGGTTCGCGTCCCAATTAGCAACTCTGGAGCCCCGAACGCGTCCAGAATTTTGGCCCGCCCCGCTGATCTTCTGGCCCACTGTGCTGCGGGGCCCCCTAGGGGCAGGTCGACGTTCGCAGACGACTCAACTTACGGTGGACAGCAGGGTGATGGTGCGACGACGGCGACGGCTCCTCTGTCCGCCGCACTCGCCGGGCCTCCGACACGGACTGACCGGCGTGCTGCGGTAGTACCGCGGCGGTACCGGTACGCCGTGGGCACATGCCATGGCGGCGGCAGTCCTTCTCGCCAGCGCCGAGCCGCGAGCTGCGCTCAGCTCAGGCGCCTGCCGGATAGGCAGTCCCGTCGAACAAAGGGGTTGTGCGTGTTGCCTACCCCCAGCTTGGCAGGCGCTATGAACACGTCGGTGAAGAAGCTGTGCACAATGCGTTGCCTACTTGCCGGCGCATGCTCACACTATTCCAGATTTTCTTCAGGAGTGGACTGTTAAGGGTCGAAATAGTCCTTCAAGTAGAGTCAGGAGTCTTAAGTGAGTGCTCCAGTACAACATACTCAAATTTGATCCGTTTTAAATTTTTTGCCCAAAACGATAAAAAAAAACCATGACACATTCTTTCGATGAAAATGGTCAACCTCCTCCGATTTGTCTAAAATTCATCTGGAACGTTGCTAGGGGTCTAAGAAATTGACATCCGGTGCCCAATGGTCTTTGCGACATTCTATTTGGCGTGAAAATGACTTTTCCCGTGACGCTAGTTGAGTACTGGTTCGGTGAAGAGACTGTGGACGATGGGTTGCCTACCTTCCGGCGCATGCTCACAAAAATTCGCGAGTTTACTTTTACAGCCAGGATGTCTCTAATTGCCTATTGCCGCTCTGTGGCGTGTGGAATGTGTGGCCTACCTTCACGGCACCACGTGTTATGGTTTCGTCTTGTGGCTTGCCCAATAAGATAAAGGAACTTTTTAAATAAGACATGGGGCAAAGTAAGATTGTTGGAGTGTTTTATTTTTCAAAAATATGGAATGTCAACATTACATTGAAACCATACCAATATGCAGTAAAAATCACAGACGAGATGAACTTTATACTTTTTATACTAAATACAGAGTCTTCCCAAAAACCCTGGCAACCTGAAGCCAGCTGAATCTGGTCATCGAAGCCACCCTGCATGCAGACTTAAAAGATACCTGACTTTATCCGCTTGTGGGGTATTTGCAAGTCACCGATTAAACAAATTATACAAATTATATTGTATGAAAATAAAACCCTAAAAATATTTTTTAAAAATTTAGATGCAGAATGGTAGAGGTATATGGACAAAATGTTGCATGAATAAATAAGACTAGACATAAAACGAACACATCTACTAGGAAAAATACCAAAGTTGACTTTATGGTGCAACATAAAAATGACAAGATGATAATAATAATAATGATGAACAGTCACTATAAGTAGTTACAGGCAGAACAAGCCTGAAGGCCGTTGCATACATTTCAAAATTAAAATCACGAAGAAAATATGACAACAGACTCAATTTTATCATGACACAGTGGCATGAATTGACAATATTGCCAACACATTTAAAAACTACAGGTAAAGTACCACCGTTTGATTAAGAGACAGTAAACAGGACGGAACTTGCTCAGACTCAGGAGAACGACAAAAAACTGTCACTTAGGATTAACAAGGGTTCCTTTGATAATTAAGTCAAATGGTGTGTGTAAAACCCGGACTACCATAAGAAGACTTTTTGAAAATGTTCTGTCGGCTTATTTGGCCTATTGGATCTTCTTCTTCAACAGGAACGGCGTGGAATGAATGTGTACCTGATGATAACAATTCTCGTTTGGGTCTCATCATGCTGGGAAAGAAAGAGAGAAAATGAATTATGATAAGACAGTCACAGTACCAGACAAACTCAGATAGGTAGAGAAAGTAACAGCCGCTGTGAGAAAGGGCATCCTCCCTCTCTGGGACATCACAACAGGTAAGCAAAAAAAAAGCATTGCAGACAGAACACGGCAGGACGTTGGTGGTATGTGATAAATGAACAAAGCTGTAAAACAAAAAGCAGAGAAGTGAAATGACTGAAAAGAATACATCACTCTGCTGCAGTTTACAGGAACAGACACCTGGACAACACAAAAAGTGAACACAAATAGGCTTAGGTCAGCGCTGACTTGAGGTACCTGGTGAAATAGATGTCAAGTCAAATGCAAACTCTTTCTGATAAGATTCCCAGATCAGTTTCAGAGTTTGTCTGGTACATTCCAAAGACCGGTGTTTCGTCAACTCCTAAAGAGGGGCAGATTAAGTAGGGAATACCAGATATCCTCCTCTGGATGTCACTGTGCGAAGAGTTTGACAAAGCAAAGACAATGCATAAGATTAAAGATTTAAAAGCTTATTGGTTAAATGACAGCTGAATTTAGGATATTCTCATGAAGTGTCTTTGATAGAAACAAATTATTATTTACCGGATCCACTTTGCACCCTCATCTCCACCCACTGACGAGCTTTCTCCATTTGAGGACTCAGAACTGAAGATGAAATAAAATGTTATTTGTGAGCGTTGCTATTCTGGTTCTGCCTTCACTACTATATTCATTCAAACTGGTAGGTACATCTCATACTGCCTTGGGCAAAAATTCAAACGCAGAAAACAGAAAATTTTTTTATCATCTTTTTATAGATTTTACAATAATGAAAGATAATTTATCAAATCCCTAACAATAATTACATAATGCGTAACACATTGAATACCAGCTAATGCACATATCTGAAAAATATTTTTACTTTAGTGATTAATTAATTGAAAAAATAAAACACTTACCCTTTAACATCAGCCACTGAAACTTCCACATCCTTAAAGGTGTTCAGGAGAACAATAGAGACAATAACTATCAAAAATCCACAACCACTCCCGAGAAAATCCACAGCAGACATGTTTTCCCATTCACGGAAAAGAAGGGCAGAAGCAATTACAACGAAAGTTGTAAAAAGGACATAATACACTGGTGTAACAATACCAGTATTAAAGAGATCCAATGCACGATTTAGGTAGTTCATTTGGACCTGCAAAAGATGAAACATAGTGTTACCAGAATGCCATAAGCAAAATGTACAAAACAAGAGTTTCTTGTCAAGAACTTACCACAATGCATGCAACAACTATAACTAACAATGTCAACGTCATCCCACCGGCAAGGGCATTGTCACCCTCAGCAGCGATGGCTTCCTTCACTGCCAATCCCAGACCCTTACATCCCAGGACAGTCACCGATCCCACTGAAGAGCAGAGCAGGACGTAAACAACGACATAGCGATGTCCATAGTTGGGTCCAACATAACATGCGAGAACAACTGCTAAAATGATTATGAGGATTTCATAAACAAGAAAACCTGAGAAGAAAAAGAAAATTATTAAGTAAAATTTAAACAGTGTGATAAGTTGAGAGAAATAAACAAGACTTAACTTACCTGGTTCTTGCAGTTTTTCTATTAACATACTGAGACTCTCAACCTCTTCCTCATGCGGAGCATGTATTACAATGACTGTAGAACCCAAAATACACAGGCAACAACCAAGCTGAAATCCAGAGAAGAGCAAAATAAATAAATGTTTGTTACAGGTTTATTTTAAAAGGTGACTGTACTGATTATGACAAACCTTCCCCAACAAGTTGAGCTTCTCATTCAAAAAGCGGGATGCTAAAACTGCCGACACCAAAACACTCAGTGCTCCAAGAGGGGTTACTAAGGCAGCTGGAGCAAAGGCGTATGCAATGAAGTTTGAAGCTTCACCAATACCCACTGTGAAACAAGAGGGCCGAAATGTTAAGGACAAAATATTATTTGAAGCTAAGAGCATGCATGTAAACCCAAAATTAAGTCGTTTGAAAAATGAGAGACTGAGAAGGCCTTCTACCCAGCAAACTCCAGACCAATCCCATCAATGCTCTCCATTGCGGCCATTGACGACATGCAAAGATTGGTCCAAAGTTTCCGATTGAATTGGTTAGAAGAGTGAAGGTATATCCAGAAAGACAGGTTTCAGTTGACATGCTCCACTTAATTAAGGATTGTCTTACTCGTTAAGAGACCCGCCCACCACATCCAGTCTCTGAGGTAGCCGAAGCCTCCAGCACTGGCACGGACGCCTCCAACCTTGTTGATGCGCAAGAGGGCCTTCTTCTTGATGATGAAGCTGCTTCCTAGAAAGGAATAAAGTCGAAAGTCAGAAAAATGCAACGCTGGAGATTGGCTGGTGATGTAACTGAGGCACCAAGAGGTTATGGCGCAGACTTGGTGACTTACCGATAAAGAGCGTGGAGCCGAGGGCGAGGCCCAGCCCGATGTAGAAGAACGTGATGTCATTTTGGTTTGGAGGCGGAGTGACGGTGGACGCCACCATCTTCTACATGCACCTGGCACACCAAACGAAACAACGGTGAGCACCATAAACAAATCAAGACAACACCGGGCCGTCAGCGTCCAGCCAGCAGACGACAGACAGCAGTGTAGCCAGCCAGGGGAACCACTCAAATAATGGAAGAAAGAGCATATTTTACAGCCGCATTACCACGGTGTGACGTAAGCTGAGAACGCGAGGAACACGAAGATTGAAAACAAAACGATAAAATCCGAGGCATCTTAAGACGATCGTCTTAAAAATTGACACTTTGGAAAATTTGAGCTCGATTTTTCATATCTGGGACTTCCCGCTTCAAATGCGATGTGGTCTGCCTACCCCCTAGGCGTTGAAAGAGCTGCAAAAGCAACTGTTGGGCCGCGGTCCCCGCGGTGAACGGTGCCGTTGCCGCGATGGGTGTCTTACCTCCGGGAGATAACTGCCGTGGTGGTGAGGTCCCCATACACCCCTAACGTAGAGGCCTCTATCCTAACGTAACCAGCAAACACGAAACTGGACGACTCTGCTACGCACTTCTAACTCACCTGGGGAGCTAGAAAAACACTGGACCGAAGGCGCGGGCGCGCGGCCCGGAGATTAGTCAGTCACTTGACGAGGCAGAGGCAGATAAGATACGTCGGACGTCGGAGGGCCGCGGGATGCCTGGACGAGCATCAGCGGTCTCTGCAATCGGCGAACTGAGTCCTGGGACCGATGGGTCAGCTCAGGTGGTGCGCCATATCCACGATATCGCCCGATTGCCACCTGCCCCCAAGATTGCCTGCTTGTCTTAGATAAGTGAGGCGGGCAGCCTGGCCGGGCAGCACGCAGCAGCGCGATGTCTCCGTCAGTTCCTGACAGCGATGGCGATGGCGGCGCGGACCCTGCTGGCGTCCCTCGGGGTCCTGCTCCTGGCTGCGGCCGTTTGGTGAGCTCTCCCTTTACTTCCAGGGCGCCACACCGCGGGAGAGAGTGAGAGAGGGATACTGTGGGTCCCGGCGGTGACTAGACGCCACGGTGCCTTGACGCGGCACTGCTGAACCGCCTAAATAAGCCTGCGCTGCAACGCTATGCGACGCTATGCGACGCCCACCCCGACTCGCCTGGACTCACTGCCCGGTTATCGCTCGTCCCAGCGAGACCAGACGTCCCACCCGAAAATTGGACCGCCCCACTCCCCTGATAAGCGGATGGCATGACGATAGGCGGCCCGGCCTGGCGGTGAGCTTACGCCGTGCCGCGCCGTGCCGTGCCGTGCCGTGCCGTGCCGTGCCGTGCCGTCGGAAGCGGTCGGTTTGTTTTTTGCGCGGACCGCACCTAGTGTGCGCGCTCCCCCCTCCGACAGCCGGCATGCGCCACCCTGGACACACACGCGTGGCCCGGCGAAGCCCCTACTCGCACCTACTGTCCAAACGGTGACGCCACCGCGTCCGCTATGCGTCATCAGGCACACCGCGGCGGCGGCTTTGGCCTGAGGGAAGTCCAAGTCCGACCGACTCGGCGCATCATGTGCGTTTCGATTTTATCTGCAGCGCGCAGGACAAGCTCGACAAGCTCGACAAGCGCGCCTCGGCCGACGCGGACATCGACCGGCTCACCGATGACGCCCTCGCCGGCATCGCGACGTTCGCCAAGGACACGGGGCTGGTCAGCCTCAACCTGCCCGATGTGGACCAGCACTTCTCCACCGTGAGTTGCTCTGTCTCTCTCGCACCCGTGACACAGTGGTCCAGAAGACCGGCGGAAGCGGCCAAAACTCTAGACCTGTTTTGAGCTCAATGGTCACCAAATGGAACTCGAACCCCTACCGTTGGATTCCTTGTTCAGAGAGCAATCCATTGGTGGGTTTCATACGCTCGGTTCGCGTCCCATTCAGCGACTCTGGAGCTCAAAACGCGTCTAGAGTTTTGGCCGCCTCCACCGGTCTTCTGGCCCACTGTGCGTGAGGGATGACGCCCGACGAGTGCGACAGAGACTCTCCGAAATGAGAAGTCCGCTTGATGACTTGTGCAGAGACTCGTGCACACACTCTTAACCTAACCTGAACCTGACTCCGCTAGACCGTGGCGTGGATCCTCAGCATCACCGGCAACCTCCAGCTGATGAATGGCCTTCTCACCAACTTCCAAACGATCCACCGCTTCGAGGACTCCCTGCTCACGTTCATCGAGTCCACGCAGGCGGACAACCCGAACGAGCTGGTCCTGCGCGTTGGGATCGAGATTCCGGAGATCGACGTAAGATCGGTGTACCCTCTGCCTCTCTTTCTCCCCAACACAGCGGGCTTGAAGATCGTTGTAGGCGGTCAAAATACCGGACGCGTTTTGAGCTCCAGAGTCGCTAAACGGGACTCGAACCGAAGTATGACCCCACCAATGGATTCCTCGTTCGGAGAGCAGTCCATTGGTGGGGTCACTCGTTCGGTTCGAGTCCCCGCGACTCTGGGGCTCAAAACGCGTCTCGAGTTCTGGCCGCCTCCACCGGTCGGTGCCCCGGGACGACGCGGGCTGGAGCCGTGATGTGCTGCGTGTTTCAGGCTGCATACGCCCGGACTTCGACGCGCCGGAAGCGCCGCGATGGTCATGCAGAACGGCAAGTTGCCATGGCGACCTCAGTCGCCTGGGTGAGTAAGGCGTGCGACCCTGCGGTGTGAGAGTAGGCAGTCCCGCCGAGCGCGCCCGGAGCGCCTGCGATGTCTGAGAAGGCAGTCCCGCCGAGCGCGCCCGGAGCGCCTGCGATGTCTGAGAAGGCAGTCCCGCCGAGCGCGCCCGGAGCGCCTGCGATGTCTGAGTAGGCAGTCCCGCCGAGCGCGCCACCACGACAGCCGCCTACCCTCCGAGCTTCTAGTATAGAGGCCTTCATATCCCTGTACGGAAATGTAGGGCTGTACTCTCGTCTTACGAGTCGGTTTGTGTTCCGTTGCAGAAAGATCAACGTGAAGGTCAAGGACGGCGTGGTGGGCTGGCTGGCGACGTTCATCAGCAACCTCGTGGTCGGCTTCGTGAAGAACAACGTCAAGAACGCGATCGAGCACCAGCTGCCATCCGTCATCAACGACATCCTCGCCAAGCTGGACATCGCGGACATGATCCGCCCTCACTTGGCTCCCAGGCTGGCTCTCTGAACCAGCAAACCAGTTTTTTAAATACACGACTGCCTGGCAGGATGGATTCTCTCTCATGTTTTTCGGCACTGTCACCTCGGGTTAATGGGGTCGGGCATTAAAATGCGAAACATCTTTTCATACTGTTTTGAAAAATGTCTTTTATTGAAATAAGAACAGACTTAGACAAAAAACAAAACAAAAGAAGAAACAAACAACATATAAACCATATGCTAAATCACATCTGACACTGCATCACAAGAAATATTTTTTTAAAGGCTGCAACGCCAGCAGGGAATGAGTACATTGACATCCTTTCCAGATACACTCTGCTGAGCAATTAACATTTAACAATTACAATACACCAGCTTCCAAGAATAAACTCATATTATAGATAAAAGACTTAAAATAGAGAAAGAGGAGAAATGGGAAGAAGAAGAAAAGACAACACAATAGCCAAGCTCAAAGGCATTTGGTTTCGGATGGAAACTACTAGAATAGAGGAGAAAATTATGAAAGGTTTGCATAAGAGCAGAGTTGAAAAGAACTGAGAACAGCATCTTTGAAAAGAAGCCGAAATATGAAATAATGATTAACATAGTAAATATAATGTAGAAAGTTTGAAAGGTTTTGAAAGAGAAGAATAGAATAATGAGGTAACAGCTAAAAGTGATTTTACACTTCAAGAAAGAAGTAACTTTAGGCATACACATTTTTTAAGCATAGCTGTGGTACATAAATATCTACACTATCATGAGCATCTTCAGAAATTTTATCTAAGCATACCATTACAAAATAGTTCATAGTCATATCCCTTCAAAAAATACTATGTTGGTCTTGCAAGTTTCTTCCAAGGCAGGACCTGCCCTAAATTTATCATTTGTTTAGAATTCAATGACACATCACTTGGTTAGCAGAGGCGGCACATGCATCCTTCACACTTTAACATCAAGTCCAAACGAGCGTGTGCAATACAGGCATTAAGTGTCAAGTGACCATATGCCGGCAGATAAAAGTAATTAAATTCCTAGTAGCACACATGCTCTCCACGTGAACAAAGACAAATAGAGCACCACCAGAAAACATCATCAAGCCAACAATGATTTTAAAAATCAACAATTAACATGCAAAATCCAGTTACAAACATTGAACTTTTTGAAAATTCTTCTAAAAATTGAGTACGCTTATAAATGTTAAACAGACTATTTTGCTATTTAAAAAATGAAGAAAATGTTGCATCTCTACACAAATATTTGGTTTTAAAGGAAATAACTTCTTGAAAAATAAGGAAGTTTTAAACCACTAATCCCCAAATTGTTTACCTGCACTGTTCAAAATATGGAATAAGCAAGTTGCCTTAAACCATTACTATGGATCACTTTGCATCCAAATACAACTAACAAAAATATAAGAGAGAAACTTCAATCAATTCGTGCGGAATGTTCCAGACATGCTTATAATACGGCCTTACAGCTTGTTATGAAGCAGCTCAATTTTGAATACAGAAAAGACCTGAGGAATTCGGCACAAAACACACATAAACTTAAGATATGCTCCACAGAAAAAGATTCCTGGAATATCACAAAGGATTATACATACAACTGCAGTGAACATTCAATTAAATCTGCTCTGCTTAGGTGCTTGTAAGAAAATGGAAGAGACAATCCAACAACACACCCCCATCAGTGTAGTGAAAAGTTTGTCAAAAAACACGATTCATTTTTCACATTAAAAATTATGACGTGAGGAGGGAAAAAATTGCCTTTGCGCTTCAGTAAAAATTACATTTATGCTAGGCCTTATTACCGTAACAAGCCCTTGATAAAAAATATCTGAATGTGCAGTCATTGAAAAATGAATAGGGGCACAAATACAACTTGACTAGCCTTAGGCTTTTACCATAGTATAAAAATGTGCACTGGAGTGTGCATAACAATTTTCAAACAACAGGATACACAGTCCACCTACTTACTTTATCACAAAAATGTTATTGTAAAGGTACACATGATACCTCATTATATGGTGTTGTAATTTAGCTTTCAGAATAAGTTCACAGAAAGACAGTACAAAATGTAGGTTGCATGTGGTACCGCACAAAACTTGCAAATTTTAAGCCTTATAAAAGGACAAGCTGCATGGCAGCTGATGAAATATATTAGTTTCCTCAATGATAGCAAAGAAAGAACAAAAAAAATACACACACAAAAATAAATAATAATACCTTATGACTACCCCATACAAAAGGCAACACTGAACCCTACATTATTTAAACACACCTGTATTCCTCAGGTACAAAATATTTCTCAACTAGATACTGGTTTTACATGACCCTGTCATTTGGTACCACTCAGATGAGAATCTGGCAGAATTCAAGGGCAAAGGAACATCAGAAGGACTTCAATTAGAAGGAGAATACCTAAGCACGTGTGTCACCATTTTCATCCACATCCATAATCATGGAATAAAGGAATCCAGTTTTCAAATAGAAATCTTCGTACCACTGTACCCCTCTTCCACCAAGTTTCAATTTCTTTGGCTTAACAGTATGAATTCAAACATATGACAAGAATCTCACCCTAGTTTTAACATTGCATCATTTGGAATGAATCCTGCGATCATGTAAAATAAGTTCACAGCATATTATATTTTATTCATCTTTTGTAGGCTCTACAGCACTTGAAAAAAGAAACAAAAAAAACTATGATAACTTTGCTTTGATTTAAACTAAATACAAAAAATTAATGAAAGGAACATTTGATCAAGAGGTCACAGGAAGCATGGAAACACAAAAGTACTTCAAGAACTCACAAAACAACAAAGCTAAGATTGCTTTGCATACGAAAGCCGAGCTATGAAAGCATGAGCTGCAAGCTTTTCAATATCAGACTAGGTTTAAAGGTCATCTCGATAATGTTAAAAACCTTTATAGACGAGTATCGTAACAGCCATTTTCATTGCCGTTCCCATTACCCAATGCATCCTCCACATCTTTTTTCGGAGCACTCAATTCCAGCATAAGGGAATGCATTCTAAAATGCAAACGGCTCTCCAGCGAATAGCCTGTATAGTTCTTCCTTGCAGTTTCTATCAGTTGAACAGCATGTTCTTTATCCCCCTGGTAATTTGCAATTACTGCAAGTTCAACTAAGGCATATGGAACAAGGTGGGTATCATCTTGAATCTGTTTTTCAAGTTCAATAACTTTCTGTAGACATTGTTGAGCTTGAAGAGGGCTTCCCATAACATGAAGGAGAGCACCTTTTAGCAGCAGAAGAAGTGCTCTAGAATTATTGAAGGGAAGAAATTACATCTCAGTAACACATGCACATGTATGTAAACACATAGAATACATGTTGTAATTTACCTGTTGTCTGCATCAAACTCAGATGAATATTTTTTTGTTTGCTCAAACTCTTGCAAAGTTGTCTCCACTAGTTTGTAAATATTTTCTGCTAAGGACCATTTAGTCTTCATAGTTTTAAATAGATTCCACATGTATACCAGTTCAACTCCAGGAAGAATAAGGAATTTTCTCTGTGCAAAGTAGCGTTCAGCCTTCTTGATCACAAATTTTTCCATTGGCAGCGACTTTCCAGCAAGACGTTGCTTGTATTCGGGTGCCGTCCTCATCAATTCTTCCACCTAAATTTTTTAAATGAAAGTAAGCAAAATAATAAACAAACAAAAAAATAAAGGAAAGAGGAAGGCAGCAAAGCAACAATCATTTTTTAAGTGTCAGAAAGCTTACCTTCAAGTTTTCTTCTGGTGTTAAGTCATCAATCATGAGCATAATAGCAGCCTGCTGGTACTGGTAGATGGTACGGGACCACCTTGACTTTGCCACCAAACTATCAGCATATTCATTGGCAAGGCGCCAGTCAAGGCGTAGGGCGTGTACAAACATGAGCTCCCAGAAACACAGATGGTGGAAGTGGGGCCACTTGTTTTGCGAATGCCATGATTGAATGTACCACTTGTCAGCTTCCTCCAAATTTCCCTTCATAAACTCCAGGCGCCCTTTGAAGAAGAGGAACCACACTCCTCGGGGGTACTGAGCCAGCTGCTCACCGAGAATTTTCTCACACAGCTCCAAGTTTCCATCAGTATGGCTCAGGACGTACACCACGAGAAGGTTGTACGCTAACAGCATCATCACACATAGAATCTGAAACAAACCAGGCAAGATTTAAGACTCCAGAATTAATTTTTTTAAAATTAATATTATTACTTTCATTTTAAATTACTTGTCTGAGGCCAGTTTTAAGCATGAACCCCTGCTCCAACTCCTGCAGTCCAAACGACTTGTTCCCCGCGAAGCCGATGAACTCCAGCAGCTTGATGATCCTGGCCGGCAGCAGGGAGATCATGAGGTTGAACGCGCCGATGCCCATCCGGACGCCGCTCTCGAAGTGAACCTGGGGCACAACACGGAGACACATCACCATCAGCGCCATCAGCAGGCCAAGTCGCACGCGCATCGCGATGCACAGTGGACCGGAAGACCGGGCGAGGCGGCCAAAAGTCGGGACGCGTTTTGAGCTCCCGAGTCGCTAAATGGGACTCGAACCGAACGTGTGACCCCACCAATGGATTCCTCGTTCGGAGAGCAATCCATTGGTGGGGTCACACGTTCGGTTAGAGTCCCGTTTAGCGACTCTGGGGCGTCTAGAATTTTGGCTGCCTCCACCGGTCTTCTGGCCCACTGGGCCATGGACGGACGTCCCTGCCCAGCAACGACCGGGCCGTCATGCCCCCCCCCCTCAAAGCATGTCCACGACAAATTTGAGGTTTCATGTGGCAGGAAAGGGAAAGGAAGACTCGCCAGGGAAGCCCTTCCGCGGGGTGGACGCTAAAGACGGGGGCGTTGGGGGAGGGGGAACAATGCGCTGCACTGCACGGGGCGCGGCTTCCGGGCTGTATCTTGCCTCTGTGTGTGGGCGTGTGTGTGTCTGTGGCCGTGTGTGTAGGCTCACGCCCCCGACCTCCCCGACCCATGGGCTCACCCCCCCCCCCACCCCACACACACACACACACACACACACACACACACGCACGCCGCGGCCAATAAGGGGCCGATGAATGGCAGGCGGCACCTAGACGTCACTGGACGTCACGACGCCGTGGCTGCGATGCGCTGCTATGCGCATGATGGCCTTTAATTGCACAGGCCGCAGCGTCGCGCTGTCTCCCTCGCACTCGCGGGCCGGGTCGGGCCGGGTCGGGCCGGTCCCTGCGTTCCGCTGGGGTGCGAGAGAGACAGAGCGGCCGCAAGTAAGGCGGCCTGGCGGCCCACGCGCACACGGCCGCGCACTTCCCGAGCGCGCTGTCACTCCCATTAGTAGTCACTCCAACCGTCGCGGCAGTATCAATCTTTTTTGTGCCATTTTTTTCAAGTCGCTATTTTTGCAACCCCTTGATGACGTCATCCGTCTAGTTTGAATTGCAGATGAGGCGATGTGCGGGGGGCACAGTGGGCGCCCAGACAGGTAGGTAGCGCCGGCGCCACAGGCCGCAGCAGGCACCCGCTGCAGCGAGAAACATTTATCTCTGAGGAAGAGAACGGGCCGAGGCCAAATATATCTCCACAAAACAACGATAAAAGACGAACAACAACAACAACGAAACGTAACGACTAGTTAATAAGGGCGGCTGCATGAGGCCTTGGGTATTCCCGCCTCCTGCACTTCTGTGCCCTTTGCGCTAGTGGCTGGGGTAAAGGGGCGGGCGTTGGCTCCGAGGACGCCCTGGCAGTCCCTGGGACGCCCTGACAGTCCCTGGCCATGGCCCTGTGGTGCCGCCGCGGGGGCCAGTGGGCCGCCCGCCCCGCCCCGCCCCAGCGCCCTCACCTCAGGCAACCAAGAAAGCCACCCCACCAGCAAGCAGACTGGTTCCGAAGAGCGTCACTGTCCCTTTCACAGCCGTACGGGGCACGCCCCATAGGTGCGAGAGAGACCCCCCGCTCGGCATCAGTCTGCAGGTGAGAGTAAGGCCGCCCGCGGTGGGTCTGTACTGTACGCCCTTCCTCATTATCTCGCCCTCCTGTCTGTCCGTCTGTCTGTACGTCCGTCCGACTTCATGGACTTGCACGATGCAAAACGAACTTCCCACTCCCACACCAACTGTCTGCAGGCGAGGAGGTGCTAATGCAGCCAATGTAAACAGCAGACTGGTTCAGAGAGTCGGGTCGGTTTTCGTCTCTCTGTCTCTCTCGCACACGGTCAGCCCCAATGGTGCGAGAGAGGCAGAGAGACGAAAACGAATCCCGGAATCACTTTGCCGCCGCCAGGTGCAGTAAAACAGGATTGATGGCTCGCATTCAACTCGAAAAAGCAAAAGCAATTTTAAGTATTTTTATTTTTTTGCCTTTTTCCCTTGTTTTTTGTCGTCTTTGCTCGAAGTGTGGCCGTGCACCGTGGAGCGAAACAGGCACCTCGGCAGCGTTAGCAGTCAGGGTGACCCGCAGGCGCGTGTATGTGTATCTGTGTGTGTGCGTCGTGTGGATGGAATTGGATGGAATCGCAGCGAGCAATAATTGTAGGAGCGCGTCGCAGTCCGGGTGAGCACACACCAAAAAAAAGGTTCGTAAAGTCGAGCAACGATTCCAAAAAATGCCCAACGTACCTCATTGACGCCCAGACAGGAATTATGAATAACAAACAGGCGGCAGTGAAGCCGAACGTAACCCAATAGAACCTAACGCCCAATATGAAAAGTGGGCCAGCAGACCGGTGGAGGCGGTCGAAATACCGGACGCATTTTGAGCTCCAGAGCCGTTAAATGGGACTCGAACCGAACGTGTGACCCCACCAACGGATTGCTCTCCGAACGAGGAATCCATTGGTGAGGCACAGGTTCGGTTCGAGTCTCATTTAGCGACTCTGAGCTCAAAACGCGTCTAGAGTTTCGGCCGGCGGCGCCGGCCTTCGGGCCCACTGTGCAACGACACTCGAGTTAATCTCGTTCGAGTGCGGTGGAGAAACTGTGACAGCCGATGAGTTCAGACAACACAAAGTCGCGGACCTACACCGCAATCTACCAAATCTGCCAAATCTAATTCGTTCCCAAGGGCACGGCCACGGCGCCGGCGAGCCAACCACAAGCTGGCCGAAGCTGGCCCGGGGCGAGACCGCAGCGATGTGCGGCCAGACCCGAGCTCTGTGTCTCTATTTCCGCTTTCCGAACCTTGGTGAGGTGGCCGAGAGCGCCTGCGAAGGTCTGGGTAGGCAGTCCCGTAAGACACAGCGCGCCGCCGGGTTGCCTACCGCCCGTCCTGCAGGCGGCAAGGGTCGCCTGCGAAGGTCCGGGTAGGCAGTCCCGCAAGACACAGCGCGGCGCCGGGTTGCCTACCGCCCGTCCTGCAGGCGGCAAGGGTCGCCTGCGAAGGTCCGGTAGGCAGTACCCGCAAGATCAGATCGCGGACGCCGGGTTGCCTCGCACATCAGGGGCACTGGGATTGTCTACCGCCCTATGTGGCCTGCACTGCGAAGGCGATACACTTGCAGAAAATATTCCGCGCGTCCGAAACAAAAATAAATCCTTCGACGGTGCGTGCCCCGCGTCCTCTCAAGGCAAATCGATGCAGGGCACCGCGCGGCGCACACGCACAAGAACGCCGAAACACTACTCCACTGGATCGAAACGGAGCAAGAGGGCTTCCCGGAGGCCCCCCATTGTTTTCCAGGAAAGTGTCGTCTGCTCGCTTTCGCCGTGCCGACGTCCCGAGAGGCCAGAGCTCTGTCTCTCTCGCACCCATGGGGCGTCCCGTCGCGGTGCGAGAGAGACAGAGCGACTGACAAGTGCAGCCGCGCTTTGTTGTTGTTGTTTTTATCTTGGCGGCGCAGAGTGTGCGCTGTGAAGAGAGCGCCTTGGGGACGACCTTGAGCTTGAGCCGCGCCTGCCCTGCCCGCTGCCTGCAGCATGCGGCAGCATGCCCGAGGTAACCAGCGCAACTGCTGGATCGGCGAGTCGCAGATACGGCGGTGCCGCGCGCCTCCGGACGCCGTGAACCAGTTTACTGTTCACTGCGTCTCCGGGCACCTCCGGGCACCTCCGGGCAGCACGGCCACGGCGAGCATTAATGCACCGGGGAAGTCCGCTCTTAACTAAACACAATTTCTCAGTGTGGCAGCGCGAGTTGAGACGGACACTCTCGCCTTGCCTTGTCGCACTCGTGCAGCGTGCAGACCGAGGCAGACCTTGGCCGTGACAGCGAGGCCGAAGCGGGACCGGCCCGGTTTGCTGTTCTAGAAGACGAGATAAGGGAAAACTTTTCTCCTTGACGAGTCTCGAAGAAAGTGACCTAGATAAATTTTGAATTCTCGACCAAAGAACAGTTGAATCTTTTACTTGAAATTGACAGGCGCGATGCGCGGCAGGTGGGTTGCTATGGGATCACACGGCCCATCGCGTGCCCAGCTGCAGAGCGTCCTCCAAAAAAAAGAGAGAAAAAAAACATTGCATCCTTGGCGCTGTTGGCGAGTTCCCTTTTGGGCGTAAACGGTTGGAACGTTTCGTGCGCTGGCGTGATGAGCCGTGGACCGCGCAGCCGGCAGCCTCATCCCGGACACTGTCGCCATCTCTCTCTCTCTCTCGCACTCGGGCGTCCCGTCGCGGTGCGAGAGAGACAGAGCGACGAAGGTGCGGTTCAGAATCATGTGCAGCATGCGCCGGCCGGACCCGCGACGAAGGGTCCGGCACTCAGTCTCTCTCGCACCTCCGTACGGAGCGTCCCACGAGTGCGAGAGAGATGGAACCGGTACTCCATGGCCGCGCACCTGAGGAGACTGCGGCCGTGGCCGCCGTGACCACACCGCAAGGCCCCGGCAGTGGACACGCTGCGCCCGGCTGGGCCTGGGCTGGCTCGCTACGGCTACGTCGGCGGGTCAGCGCCCGTCTGCCGCCCGGTACCTTCAGACCCCCCCCCCCTTTCCCCCGGTCATGAAATCGTGAATGCAATGCCGGTGGCGACGCGGAAGCACGCAGGAGCGCGCTATCGACGTGCAGGTGCGAGAGAGACAGCGCACCAGTCATGCGCGTCCAGCCAGAGCTTCTTTTCGACCTGAGAGGTACCAGTTCATGGCAAGTCGATGGCGGCATGGCGGCGTGGCGTGGCGTGCAGGCTTCGTCCGGCAGAGCGCCGCACCGCCGCGCCGCACAGCACCGCAGCAACGCGGAAAGCGCGCCGGGGAAGCGAGTTCCATAACGCTACACTGGACGGACACGCTGCAAACTGGAGGCCGTTGTCGTCGCGCTGTCTCTCTCGCACCCGTGAGGGACGCCCCGCGAGTGAGAGGGAGACACGTCGACGAAAACGACTCTCGGAATCAGTCTGCTGGCTGGGCTGACGCGGCTGGCTGGCTCTCGGAAAGCGACCAATCAGCGCCGAGCAGCGCGTGCCTGTCGTTTGCGCGCGGAAAACGCCACACTGCCGCGCACCTAGAGCAACACCGACCACACGCCTCATGAATACAGAGTTCACCGACAGCTGTTACCCAACCGCCTGTTAGACGCCTTTACAGCGTCGCGGTCGCCCGTTCTAGAGGTGCCGACTCTCCGCGCTTGGCCCTCCTTCGGAAGCATGACGACAGGCATTCGGCGGGCCAGTGAGCGTCCAGCCCGCTGGCAACCCTAGCGCCCCAGATCTAGGATGGCAGGTAGGGCAGGTAGCCCTAGCGGGCGAGCGAGCCCCCCACCCACCCCGGGGATCACGGCGACATGAAGCGAGTCCCGCAGTCACCCGCAGCGTTTTGTCGCCCTGTCCCTCTTGCACCCTTACGGAACACCCATGAGTGGGAGAGAGTCGGGGCGACACTGCCCCTAAGCCTGCTGCACAGTGGGCCAGAACACCGGCGGAGGCGGCCAAAACTCTAGTCGCGTTTTGAGCTCCAGAGTCGCCAAATGGGACTCGAATCGAACGTGTGACCCCACCAATGGATTGCTCTCCAAACGAGTAATCCATTGGTGGGGTCACACTGCGGTTCGAGTCCCATTTAGCTACTCTGGAGCTCGAAGCGCGTCTAAAGTTTTGGCCGCCTCCACCGGTCTTCTGGCCCACTGCTGTGTGCTGTGTCCTGTTCGGAGTGGGCCTGCGGCAGCCTGCGGGCACAACGGGCTGCACGGCGGGAAAGGACAAAAAGGACGGAGGCGCACTCGCGCACGCGGCGGTCTCTCTCGCACCCCAACGGCGCGCCCGGAGCGCCGCACGAGTGCGAGGGAGACGGGGCGACACTGTTTCGGAGCGCGCGGCGCGGATAGCCGGGGGCCTTCAATTTGGAACCCGGTCCGCGTCTCGATACGCACTATCTGTCCAGCCTGCCAAGCCAAGACCGTCAAGCCTGCCGAGACTGTCAACGCCATCCTCCTGAGGAAAATGGGACCCCCTCCCCCCTGGAAACGCTGAAACGCCGGCAGTTGCCGGGATTTTGAGAGTCACGCGGTGACTGCGCGGGAAGGCTAAGCCACGGCTGAAGCGGGGCGCTGGTTGCGGCACCGCGGGCACCGCGAGCACTGCGAGCACCGCGAGCACCGCGAGGGAAGTCCAGCAGAGTCATGCAGCATTCGCTCTTTCTCTCTCTCTCTCTCTCTCTGCTTTCGCTCCGAGCGGTGCCCAGGGGGCGACAGGGACAGCAGTCTTCAGCCCTTCTGGCCCTCAGGGCCTTGGTGTGGATGACAGAAGATAACGGGCGGGCTCGAAGAGCGCAGGGGAGAGGGGAGGATCTTGACCCAATGAGCGGTTAGCTGCCACGGCCTCAAGATAATCAATCTGGGATGGCCCAATGCAAAGGGTCAAAGGGCTGCCATTCAAACAATTAACCAAGAGAGTAAATTGTTTTGAAGAGACTTGAGGAGGGTGATAAGTGGGACATTAAGCTCATTATCAAATTGAAAAAATAAATAAATATATACATATGGGAGAAAGTTTGAAGCGCTACATTAATTGAAGGGGTTGATTACCTTGTGCGGGTCGTCGGTCCAGTCTCGGTTTTTGAGGATCTCAGCGCACTCCTTGTAAGAATTGAAGCAGGAACGAATCTTCAAGCCAGCCTTTAGGAATGTGACCAGAGTTTCATCCTCCACAAAAGTCAGGATTGACTTTAGGAGCAATGCTTCAGCATAGCATAGCTCTGCGTGCAGTTCCATGGCAGTGTAGGTATTGTAGTTGGGCCGCTTGACCATCTTCCCTATGGTTTCGTAAACTGTATTCTTCCTTCGATGCTGCTCACAAACATTTACACACGTCTTGAGGGCGGCTGAGGCTGCCTTGATGTGCTTGCCCTGGAACGTCAGCATTGCCTCAAGGAAGCAAAACACTGACGACCCAAGAGAATGGTACAGACTCGTATCTTTGAATGCCTTCAGTGTCAAGCGAGCTTCGTCAAACTGGTTATTAAAGAAGAAATTGATGGACTTGCGAGCGTCTATGAGTGAACTCTCCAGATCCTGTCCAGTTGGCTGATAAAGATGTGCGTCTTCAATGTAAGCTTCAGTGAGCTCCTCGCAGGCGTCTTCAAATTCATCCTGTTCTTCCTCCATGGCTGTGATGGCTGGGCAGGGGGCTGAGGTTGAGGTTGGTCTATGGACGTCCACACTCATGGTGCTGCCGGCTGACGGAGACGGAGTCCAGGGGGAGGGCCAGCGACGACGCGAACGCCAGCGCCTCGAGCACTGCAGCAGGCAAGGCAGGCAAGGCGAGCACTGCACTAGCCGGCGAGTGGGCGAGCACTGTCACGAACGCCATGGGCACGGGCACGGCAAGAGCGGCAGCGGCGGCGGCCTTCATGACTACTGCTACTGCTGCCGCTGCGGCAGTAGCGGCGGCAACGTTGCTGCACCTTGGCGACACCACCACAGCACAACACGGCGGCGACAACCGCTCCCCAGGGCCCCGATGCACCAAATGACACACCCAGAACCATCCACGCACACCAAACCCCGCTCAACGATTATTCCAACGAGGGGAGGCGCGAAAATAGGACGAAAAAGTTGCAGTAGCGTTCATGGCTTGGTTTTGCTTGACGTTCCTCTTGGTCTTCTTTTTTTTCCACTTCCACCCACTTTTTGGCGCGGCCTTTGACAACAGCACCGTCTGCTGGAAGGGGGAATTCCTCCTGCCGTGATTTTGACAGTCCTGTTTTCTGGGGAAAAGTATTTCTTGGCCTCGTTCTTTCAACGTTGCTGGAAAGTGTTTGCGAAGGATTACTTCTTGATTTATGGGCCTAAAGAGCTAAAAGTGGAAACTCTTGAAAGCGACTTGGAGGATCGACTGTTGAGACGAGAGGTCGACGTTGACATCTCAACCACAACAAACTAATTTGAGGTTATGCTGTTTTCGTACTAGGTTGGATCCCGAGCCTCCGTCTCTTTTCCGAGAAGTTGAGACAGTTTGGAACACTGACAACTCGTTTCATCCCGTCAGAATGGCGCAGGGCCACGTTCAAAGGGTGCGGCTACTTTACAAAACCATTCTCAAGCTTCACAGAGGCTTGCCTCCAGAACTACAAGTACTGGGGAACTCCTATGCAAAAGATGAATTTAAGAGGCATAAAAACTGTAATTCAGCAGAGGCTGCTGTTTTTATGAATGAATGGACGGTAGGTATTGATTTCATACCTGATACCAATATTTAAAAATTATACCAATCAAATCGCTCATGAATTTTGAACATGTACGCTCACACAAATTATGTAACATTTTTCATTGTACGTCATTCTGTGCTCATGTTTGTTGCTACAGAAGTATGCCTTGGACATGTCAGAGCAGCTAGGATTGAGAGGACCCAAAACAGCTCGTGAAATTGGAGACAACTTAGATGAAGAAGCTCTTAATCATTTACGAGATGAACAGATAGCGCAATTATATGAATTACATCTGGCAGCCACTTCACAGTCAAAGGAAGAAAAAACATAGTGTCACTTTTATGTCAATAACTAGTGTATTGTATGTATTCTATCTCCTTCATGAGTAAATCAGATCAAAATAATACTTTCTATTCAGAGCTCTAGGTAACGATCATTGTATAAAGTTGTACGAATGTACGTTTTGTAAGTCGATTTCTGTGGCAAATATAAAAGCCTGACAGGCAACAACAACAACTCTCTCTAGAACATTATTTTTTATCATCCCTGCAAGCAAATTTATAAAAACTGCTCCCTCCCCTCCCCCCTGGGAAAGTATAGCACGTTCGTCACAGGAGACGAAACGAACTGTACACGAGTGGTAGTCGGGGTGCCGGGTGGGGGTGGGGGGAACGGCATACAGCAGGATCCCGGTACCCACCCGGTGGCCATCAAACAGAACCAAACATAACCCCAACTTTATTCTGCTATATGTTCTGCTAATGACCAGTTTAGCATAGTTCGACGCCATTTTTAGTTTCTATTGAATTAACTGAATATCATTATGAGGTTTTAATTGTTGATTGGACAAAGCAGATTTGCTTTGCTTAGAAATGAAAATGGATCCATTGAAACAGGAATCTGCCACCACACAGTCTGATGCTGTGTTGTGGTTTGTATTTCTGTTGGATCCCAGCTTGTTAGAAAAGCATTTAAATGAACAGGACTCAGGTGAGATGATTTTTCGATTTCATTGCCTTGCAGCTCTGTTTGATTGGAAACGGTTGTTGACTCTACTTCACGGACTTTGTTCGTTACTTTCCAGATCCCACTCCTCCTGAACTTATTACCAAATTCCTGACCAATGGTCAGGCAAATAATGAGGCGAGGAGTAAAAAGAATCTTGCCTTAAAAATCCTTTCACTCAAGGTTGCTGCTCACCTCAAGTGGGACATGTCTGTTTTACTCAACAGGTTCGGATCTTCTGAGAAGTAGCATTAAACTGTTATGAGCATATCACCAATTTTTAAACTTATTATTATGTATGAATGTTAAATTTTCAGACTATCGCTGGGTATGCAGTTTCTACTCTTAAAAGATCTGATCTACATGTCACGACAGGAAGAGTGGGACCCTTCTACTGACATAGCTCTGAATTTTGATGATATTACTCCTCAAGTACGTAGTTCTGTAGTTACCTTACAATTGGAAGAGGTTGGACTAGAGGATAAACTCTAATTTTTTCCTATTTCAGGCTTTATTCTCGATAGTGCTGTTTCACCGTTGGGTCTTATGCGCTCTTGTTAAACAAAATATTTCTATTAATTGTTCCTCCAGTGGCAATGGAAATGCTAACATTGGTAGGGCACCAGGAGCTATTACCAAGTGAGTTCCCAACAAGATAATTTGATTTCCTGGTGCCATTTTATAATCATTGTAGATTTAAAAGACAATAAAATTACAAAACTTTCCATACAGTGGTGCTTCACCTGCAGAAATGCCTCCTGATGAGGTGTTGAGACTTCTAGAAAAGCAGGCACCTGAAAGTGTAGCAGTGTTACAAAAGGCTCTGCAAGCTCAACCTACAAACTATTCAGTTCCAACATTTGACACTTTTCAGCCTTTGACAGAAGACAGCAGCGATGTTGAAATGCTGTGGGAAAAGTGTGAACCAATTACTCTGGAAGAATTTCGATCACAGGTATGATAGCTGCCATGTTTTTCACTGCATTGAATTATTGTTAAAGAAAATAAATTGAAAAGGTAATTTCCCTTCTTTTTAGCTTCATTTTGACCTTGGAGTGTACTTCATATTTCGCCAGGAGCATGATTTGGCAAGGCAAAACTTTTCTGCCTGTGATGAATTATTTTCCAAGTGCTCTAGGCCATCTGTGTATTGCAGTGTGTCCCGGCCTAAATTAGATGGCTACCGAATTGCATGTGGTGTTTTTTCCCCTCAAGCACAAACGTCACTTCTGTGTCAATTCCATGCTTCAATAAAACAACAGTACATGGTATTTATAATAAGAAGTCCAATTATTTTATCTGTTTCCTGCTTTTTACTTCAAATATTAATAAAAATGTTTTTCTTTCAGGGAATAGTAAACATATTGATCCAGGACAATAAATCTCAAGAAATCCCAATGGTTCATAGGGAACATCTTGAATTAGATATCCAAGGAGCGATACAAAGTGGCAAATTCACTGTTGCAAGAGATCTTCTTATACATGTACAATGCTTAAATATTGCGCGCAGACTTGCTGGTTCTCTTTTGATCTGCCAAGACTATTCTCACCGCATCCGTGCTGCCGGACCCAAGGGAGCTGACATTCTTTTAAATGTATGTTTTCCTGTCCTAATTTTCATCAGAGAAAAATGTTTTATTTTGATTTTAAATACATTCTAATTGTTCTTAATGCTTATTTTTCAGATTCTAAAACCACTTTTGCTTGAGGACAAAAAGATTGATGAGCTGAATGAACACGTGTCTTGCAGGTTTAGGGTCAGAACATTTATTCGAAACCTGTTAGAGTCAGGCAATCAGGTAGCCCTCGCCAAAGCTGTTCAGGCATCTCCTGAGTTTTGTTCTCTATTCAAGCCCAGTGAACTTGACCAACTCTGTGGAAAAATCACTGATATTTCCATCCCTTCTATGTTGTCATCAAGTTCATGGGATATCCCAGACCTCGGTCCAAGAAGTTAGTCATAGTATAAAGTCATTTACAGTACAAGGTTTCTTTCGTCAAGAGTTTCTTCCTATTTTTATCTAATCATTTTAAAAAATTTCTTTTCAGAAAACCCTCGTCTAGAAATTGGATCTGTGGAACAGCAATTAATTCAGTCTTATGATCCAGAAGAAATACGCCAATTATTAGCCAAACTTATCAGTGTTCCAACAGGCAAATCTCAACCCAAGTCTGTTTGGAATGTTAACAGTAAGGTAAAAAGATAAGATAAATTTAAAAACTGAAACCAAATGAAAGTTTTTTAAATGAACTGTTAAAGGCTTGTAAGGCTTACTAACAAGTGTTGTATCTTTCAGTGGGAGTTGCCCATCCCGGTTCATAGTGTAGTTATGATTTTACCCAAAGGATTCCTTCAAGACTTTTGTTATATCCTCCTGGCTAAAGCCCATGAGCTGGCGTCTGTGCAGGTTGGTCCATTGTCTGCGTTTTGAAGAGTGTTCAGTCTGGTTTAACTTTGCCGAATAGTAATTTTGAGTTTGTTACTCCAGGAATATTCATCAGCTTTGAAAATGTATGCTATTGTCGATGAAGAGTTAAGGATTAGTCCTAACATTCCACCAATAGTCAAATTGATGAGACTTTGCAGATGGGAGGCTCTTGTTGTTGAAATCACACAGTATTTGGATGAGTGGCCTGCTCATAATGCCCGTAAGTATTGGTATCTGTGGGCCAATATTATTCCTTTTGAGAGTAAGAAGTGAATGAAGTCAGTGTTGCGGCTTTAATTTTCCAGGGTCTAACGAGCTTGCTGAAGCCTGCAGGGCATGTTTATCAGCAAGGCAAGCAGGAGAAGCTTTAATACCTCGCCTGGAAGTTGTGGAGAGATGTGTTCTCATGCTATTGAATGCTGGTCCCCCAACTGCTGTTATTGGATCTCCACTTGATTTTCTTACAAAATTGGATAGGCATTGCGGTCATGTTGAACTGGCTGCAGCATTTGCTTATGCATGCCAAGATGTTGTACGGCAAAAGAATTGTCGTCATGTATCACGAGACGCTTGGGACTTAGGTAGCCCTCTTGCTCCCAAGTGACTGCTTAGTAATTATTATTCTCTCTTCATGACTCACATTTCAAGCTTTGTTTCCAGTTCTACCTGTTTTCCTGAAGGAAGCTACCAAGCGTAACAGCTCAGGCCATGCAGTTCACCATTCCCACCGAGACTCACCTGCCAACACGGGTGGGCTCTGCACCTCCTCATTGTGGGCTTTTCTTTCCCAGCTCAGGGAACCAACCATGATATACCTTGCTCTTTCACTGTTGGCTCGCATGCACAATGTTTTAAAAGACGACATAAAGTTGGACATTAATGTGGACTATGTTGATAACAGCAAAGGCTTCATTATAAGTGTCAATCTCTGGCCAGCTTCTATTAGTGGGTAAGATTAATTTTCTTTATGATTTCCTGTATGACTCACAACATGATGTGCATATTAACTTAATTACTTGTTATTTAAAAAAAACTTTCAGACCAAATTCATATTCTAGTCGTACAGTAGCAGAGATGTTATACCGGCTTCTCAACCATGCTTTAAAGTACAATCCAATTAATGTGGGCTGGCTGAAAGTACTTGGAGATCTCAACTATGGTAAGTTCTGCCCTTGCTTGCCTGAGTTAGTGCTTGACTCAAGTAACTGGTTTCTCAGCTGTGGTGTTGTGGTATTTCTGTTTCAGTGATGGATCACTTGTCTGCAGCTTTGAAGGCTTATTTGGAGGCAGCTGTTGCCGCAACTGACTTTTTTAGTCAACCATTGCCAAAAATGCAAATTGATGACCAAGTCATCCGTCGGATGATAAAATGCTGCTCTTCTTTACAATGCCACACCCAGGTCCTTACCCAATTTCCTTGTGGATGGATGAAATCTTCAGGACTTTGTTTCCTCAACGTCTATTGCATAATTGTTTTTGTATGTTTGTGATTCTGTAGGCTGCAGTTCTCTGTCAGTTTTTGGAGGAGGTTGATTACGCCACTGCTTTCAAATGCTTGGGTGAAACTAAAAGTGGAAGTTGTGCTGATGCAATGGACTCATATTATGAATGCGTTTGGGATACAACTCTTTTAGAATATTTAGTGCATCTCCACACCAAGAGAGGAGAAACTCATCGTAAACAACTTGCAGTAAGTACGTTTGGAATATTAATCTTGAGCAAAGTTTCAAAGTGATTTAATTTGTCTTTGAACTTTCAGATCCATACTATTGGTTTGCTTGAGTTAAACTCCAACAACAATGCAGAAATTCAACGGGAAGCTGAGAATGTGAGAAAGGCTCGGTTTCTGAGAGCTTTAGCACACCAGTATGTTTGTTAACTAAGTGTATATGACCTTTTGTACATAAAATAAAGAATAGAATAATTAAAAACTCAACTTATAATGAAAGTACTTATATTTAGCTTTTATCACGACAATCGTAAACAAATACAGTACATCACACCACTTTGCACATTAGTGTCATTTTGCAGAGCCAATGGGATAAACAGAATGTACAGAGCCAACTGAAGGAATGCCATTTGAATTCAGTGCAGGACAAAGTACACCTACACCAGATGATCATTAGATATAATCTTTGGTACATAACCATACACTATAATAACATTTTTTTTTGTTTCGAGATTGGCCATTTAGACAAGTAGGCTGCTAGTTCCCTTGCAAAATAACACTTGTCAGTTATAAAAGATACAATAATACAAGGTGATAATGACATTTGTACCAATGAAAAGAGGATCCGAAATAAATTTTAACAATCATGCAAGTTACAAATTTTTCTAATCACAGGAGAAAGTTGAGAGGAGGCCAAAGGAGACAGCAAACAACTGGCAAAGTATTACTTGAACAGTGTTAGAAACAGTCCAGCCAAAGAACCATTCACTCCCATCACCCCATGTCATTCACGTCACAATCCTACCCTCTAGTAACTTAAAAATAAAATTTTCAATGGTGACGAGATCATGACGCATAAATTTTTTTTAAAAGAGAGAGAAAAAAAAATTAACAACTGCAGTAACCAACTTCTTTGCAGACGCATTTTAAAACCATGAGTATGTACATTGCACTGCATAGGATGGGTATGGCATTTACATATAACCCAAAAGTACATTAATCAACTGCTACCTTGTTGGCATTCCCTCGAAGAACTCTCTTGGCAGGAGGCTCTCCGTTTTCTTCCGTCTGTAAAATATACAATTGGTTTAAGTCTTCATCTGATCTCCATACCTTCACTGACTCATTTAAAACAGTAGACACTCACCTGTACATCAGTCTCATTAGTTCCTGTATTTTCTAGCTTGCGCCCCCTTAGTTTACGACCCCCAGTGGAGTTTGTGGCAGGGACTGACTTCTCATTTGTGGCAGCAGAGCTATTTGTGGCAGTGGGAGCTGATGCTTTCTCAATGGTGTTGTTGCTATTGTTAGTATTGTTAGTATTGGATGTAGCATTACTGTTCATAGTGATTGCTTTCTTAGTGACAGGAGGGACTTGCTGATACATCTCGGGAGGCAGATAATGACGAGTATTGACAAACATGGGATCTTCGTGTCTCTTGAAGTACATTGTGGGGATTCGAGCTTCTGTAATAAACTCTTTCATCTCAAATGTTGTTGATTTGGTGTTCAGCAACACCATTGCAAGATCACACACAGCCCACATTTTCTGAAATAAAACAAAACCAAAATTTAGATCATGTATACTCTGCAAACTCAGGTGCCTGCAAGGCATGCACCCGGAAGTGTGTGCCTGCAGGCATGCACCAAGAAGTGTGTGCCTGGCACACACTTTTTGCAGAGTAAGTGCAAAAGGAGGAATGGTACTGTAGCACTACTTACTTCATTAAATGCTGGGTCCTCTCCTTTCAAAGCATCTTTATGATTCTTCATGCGCTCAACTACATCTTTGTAAAAACTATAGCTATAGAAATCGTTCTTCTGCATGAGAGGTTCCAAAACAAACCATAGACACTGTCGTATTCTAATAAGTTGGTCGATTTCCTCATTGCTGGTGTATTCAGGATGATGTGTCAGGATAGGCACAGCAAAGACCAACATGTAGTCAGGTAAAATGTGTTTAAGTTGGCTCATGGCCTTTTCCATGGATCCTGAAAAGTATAAAAAATAAAAAATCAGGTTAAAGCCTTATAATATTAATATAAACAGATAATATCTAAAGAAAACAATTCCTGAAATTACCTGCAGATGTTCCCATTGTTATTTGTTTGACATAATCTCTTCTCTTATTGATATCTGCTGCCATGTAATTTTTGACAAGGACTTTTAATCTCTTTTCTGACTCTAGACCAGCCAAGGCGTAAAAGCCCATGAAGTCCAGAGGTAAACACTTATTCGGGATGCCTTTGCCAAGGCCCTTGTGCAGTTTTGTTGCAAAAATTTCTCTCACTTGAGGAACTTCATCAACCATCAACTGAGATAGGACATAAAATTGTTCAACACTGTACTGATCTCCTACACCCTTTTGCTCACAGATCTTTAGCATTGCACATCCAGCAGCAAGCCGTAACCAAGACATTTCAGCTTTGCTCAACTTGTTGGATTGCAAGAGGTCGCCTCTTTGAACGATGAATGCATTCAGCATTCTGAAAGTCTTTTGGGCAGACAAAGTGTCAGCTTTAAGCCCCAGAAGCCAACGAGCCATAGTCTTCATTCCTTCAACCCTGCATCGAGTTTCTTCAGGCAATGCATCTTCTCTACACCAAGGGTCATCATGATCTACTCCAATCCAATCAGTATATTCCTTCACAAGTAGCTCCTTAACAATCTGAAATAAAGAACCAATGCAGGTGAAAATGGAACCCTAATGTCAATCCACCATCAAATTCTTAACATTTGATAACCTACCTTCCTCGAGACTATATTTTTTATTTGAACTGGATTTTTCTCAGGCAAGTTGTATGCTATATGACCCAGTGCGACAATAGCTGTTCGGTAGTGTTCAGAGGTTGGCTCCAAGTGTTCTTTTACTTTCTGCAATTGGGGAATCAAAATTAGCAATGTGTAGAAGCACTGACAGGAATGGATGGAGGCTAACTGTATTAAATTATACCTCTAAGATTTCAGCAAACAACTGATCTTGGTTGTTAGTGACATTCACATACAAACACCTAATGGCCTGTTTAGCTTGTTTGGGTGTTCCTTCAACGGACAATCTTTTACACGTGGGAATCAATGTTTCTGCAATTTCCGGGAATTGCTCACCTAAAATTTCATAAGTAGAAAGATCAGACTAAAACAACCAACAATTATTGTAGTTTTTTGAGTAATTTTAAAATCAAATACATACCAATTGGCCGGAATTTACCCACAAACGTCAAAACAGACAATACTAGGGGGGCAACTTCATCTTCCAAGTCTAGGAACGATATAAGATGCGACAAAATATCCTTGTGGAGGAAATGAGATGGAAACACATAGGATAACATCTGAGGAATGAAAGAGACACATTGAAACAATCAACAAACGCTTCACATTCAAGGTAAAGTTCACCCCATCAGGTATAGAAAGGACCTTACCACCAAAAGTTTCAGTCCTCTTTCTCCAGCTGTATTTGGGTGGAGGCCAACCTCTTCAATCAAATTGCCACCTTTCAGGCAATCTTCAACATAGCCCACAAGAATCTGCAATAAACCATTATGATTTATACTACCGCTCATCTTAAAAATATGAACTGAGACACTACTACATTACATTCAAAGATTTACCTTTAATGCCTGTTGGTCCACCATAACAGAGGAAATCCGCTCAAGTAACAACTTAACTGTATTATAGTACAGATTGGTCATAATAGGCTGGCCAAGCTTTTTCAACATCAAAGATGTGGTTTCAGCACAGTCTTTACATGAAATATCTGGTCTAAGAACAGATTCCATGCCAATCAGAAGACTTTGATCCTTCAAGAGGTTTGTGGAAAATCGGGCAAGAAATTCTTGTGCTTTTACTGGTTCAGGAAGAAACCTAGAGAGTGCCACAATACGTTGTTGGATGTCTCTATCCCTTTCCGGTGATTGTGGTTTTCGATGTATTTCCAACCACTCTCCAACACTTCTTCGGACACTGTAAAAGAACAGGAACAAACACAAACATCAAATAATGTCAAACATTGGAGAAATGTAGAGTACCAAAAGAGACAGAAACATACGCCAGTTGATTTTTCTGGAGCTCCACAAAAGCTTTAGTGGCATGGTCATCAATAGTTCCCAGAAGATGGTACAGTTTCTTCATTCTTTCCTCAGCAGGTAGTTGATATGGTACTAAGCAGGTGTTAAGCAACCTTTCTACTAGAAGTCTAAAATAACAGATACATAAAGTAAAAACGTTAGATTATACCCTTTTCAAATTTTACACGATTAATTATTAGTAAAAGAATTAAGCACTTGCCTGTCTTCCATTCCAGTCATGTAGTACCCATGAAGTATTTTGTCCTTGATCCAGGTTACTGCCTTTTTGGTTGCTTGAGGTACATCTGAATCATTGAGATGCTTTTTGTAAATCATGGCCAACCCAGTCATGGCCTCTCGACGAATTTTGAACTGGTGATGGAAATAGAATGAATATAATTAGCTGTAAGGCATCAGATAGATAAATTTGTTTCCTGAATTCTAAAATCTTGAGGGCGTACCTTTTTGTCTAAAGTTCTCTCTTTAACATACTCCAAAAGATCTTCACTATCAGAAACTACTTCAAATTCACGTCTTGCAGTAGAAACAATAGCCATCACAACTTCATACCTGTGGAAACAAAAAGAAACCAGGGGAATCACAGTAATAGAACAAAGGATAAGATGAATCCCCACAAAGAAGAAAGCAGTGCAGTTAACTTACCGGACAGCCTCTTCTGAATCATGCTGTCGCAACTTCAGTGTATCTGTGATTTCCTTACGCAGTTCAGGATGATTGATCAAGAAATGCATGGAATACTGTACGCACTTGATGCGTATCATTACACTGATGTCATTAAATCTGTAATAATTTTTGTAGAAAAAAGATATTACCAGTTGGGGTTTTAGCATCATTCAGAGTGCAAGACAAGAACCCCTGAGTCTTACCTGCCCAGAAAAGCTTTCCACAACTGGGAATGGGCCCTAGCAAGGGTAGAGTCCTTTTCAGAAAACATTCTGGCGAGCAGAGAGACAGCACCAAGTCTTTCATTTTCTTGAGCACTCTTAAGTTTACATTCAAGCTGTGGTAAGACAGCAAGCAAAACCGAAGGGCAAATGTGGTTCAGCTCATAAATAAGATCATATACTTTGGAGGCAATACCAAGGCCCCGTTCCTCTTTACCAAGAATGAGAACATGGTTGAAAAACTGAAAAGCATACAATAATGTTTAGTTTTCAAAAACCAACTAAAATACCAAGAGCTATTGTCAATAACAGAAAATACTTACGGCTTGTATGTAGGGCTCCAAAGTATCACTACATTTTATTACAAGTTCCTTTGCGAGAATATAGGCATTCTTTTTAGCAGATTTGTTGGGTTCAACAATATTCATCAAGATAATATCAAGTAGTTCATTGGACACAATATCTGACTCCGTAATCAAGGGGCACAGAACGTCCAACATAAAGTTTTTCACTTTCCCAGAATGCTCGTCGCTATATGAGGAGAAAACACACAGTTGATTTAGACATGAACAATGGATAGGATAAACAATTGATGGGATGAAATTTGATAAGACCATTGAAGCTTACTTAAAAATTTTAAACATGAGCTGGAAGAGATTGCAGAATATTTCTTGGGAGTCTTCTAGTTCAAAACACATATTAAAAGACTTGACATACGCCAAGTTTTCCAGTAAGTAGAAGTATCTTTTAAAAGCGGGATCCTTTGGATCTCGCAGGCCTGATAATTGCTTTATGAGGAACAAGAAGATGGTCTGGAAAAGAGCATTTTAAGTTATGAAAGGTATGATACTTTTCTCAGAACTTGACAGATAAAAATCAAACTGAGCTCATACCTTCACTTGTTCAGGGTCCTTGTATGGTGCTTCAGGAGCATAGACACGAAGAACGTCAGCAATGCAACAAGCAATAAGGAGTTGGACATCTCTGCTCTGATGGGTCAAGAAGTGCTCTTCTGCTAAGTGTAAGGCTAGGGGAATGTATTGCTGGTACATTCCCTCATCTTGTCCCATAGCCTGAAGAGTATGTGCCAGTGTCTGAAAAAAGGTTCAAATAAGAAAAGTCAGTCAAATGAAAAAGGTTAAAGGAAAATATGATTCAGGTTTAAATAAAAGGTCAATCATACTTTCAGTCTTCTGATCAGCTCATCAGGCCCCAAATCATCTGATACAGCGCGGCAGCCCTGAGGGTAAACAATGTCAGGAGACATGGCGGCAGCGGGTGTTTGTGGACCATCAACACTGTAACACAAACAAAAGGTTTAGATACTGAAAAGATAATTGAGCATTAATGATAAATTACATGAAAAGACAAATGACTGCAACTAGGCAAATGAAATTTGGATCAGTTAATTAACTGAGTACAAGAATGTAACTTGTCCCCCACTACCCGCAACTACATCTTAAAGATATTAGAAAAAGTATATGAAGCCTTTAAGTCCACATCAACGTCCTCAATAGTAAGAATTCAAAATGTACAAATAACACAAGATATAAAATCTCAATAACCACAAAATAATATTATGAAGGATTTGTAGAATCGTCGACCTCTCAAGTCAGTTGATACACAGATATGTCGATGTATCAAACCTTTTCATTCATTCCAAATAATCTAAAATAAAACAAATTTAGGGTAAAACTGTCCTAGTCCGCAGGTGATGCAGAAACAGACGCAATGAGACATAGAAGCACAACAAACCGTGCCTTAGTAACATGTTTCTAGAAGAGTACCCACAACAATCAGGTCTTTGGCCTTGTTAGGTTGGCAACTAATGCATACAGAGCTTCGAAAACAACCAAGCTTAAATTGGAAAAAAAGTGATCAAAATTTCACACCGAAACATTCTTCTAAGGGTAAATCCACTCGAGATAGCTTGACACAAGTGTTAGTAAACGAATTTGTACCTCAGACGACGCACAGCAGTCACAATCGGCAGGGTCTTGCCTCAGGGCCTACCGAGAAGTAGGCCTCCCAAAAACCTTCTACTACAACACAAAACAAAGCTTTCCACTGAACATTCGATTGGCGGTCACACTGAGTCTTGGTCCAGTCACATCTCTGTCAACTAAATAACTACATATCCACTAATAAAGTGTTTAAAACACAGAAAGACGCTCATTCTAGCACATCAGAAAACTGCGGGAAATATTTCCGGTAAACACCTTACGTAGATCAAGACCACCAACCTAACACACGTCGGCCTTCTTCGACTTCTTCAATGTTTGGCTATGGAACGGGAAACCTGTTCACGGCCTGGATCTTGCTTTTAAACATGCAACGACGCGAGAGCGCAGCACCGTCGACCGAGCACCGCCATTTTTGAAATCGAGTACTTGAATTCTTCCCTCTTATTTTCCTTTTGTTAGACTGTGTAGTTAGTTTGGCATTGCATTTGTTCTTTATTTCAGCTATGTACTCGTGCAGAATATAAGCAGAAAGGACCGGCAGTAAAAGAGGTTTTTTTTGTAACACTTGAGCTGGGTTCATCTCAAAGAACAACTTACAACAGAAAGCTCCATGAATGGAGTCCTAACCAAACCAACTGTAAATAATAAATCAATGTATGATTTTAACATTGTTAAATCCCCTACAGTCCCATAAGGAGTCTAGGACTTTAGTGCAACGGGGACGCCAGCCTAATGTTTCTCATACCTTACCTCCCGCCACTCCCTCCCTGCCCTCGCTACAGGTGCCGCCCTGAAAACACGAATAGGAAAGAGACGTTGAGCAGCTTTACCCACATTTTCGATTGGGAAACATCTGATTGTCAAGAAGAAAGAAGTCAAAACACGACGATTTTTTGATTGACACATAGGCAAGCGCACCCACTTCAACGGTAAGAGCTTTACTGAACTTGTTTGAGTTCACACGACGCAGTTGTGCTGGCAAACAAGGAAAGTGGTCGCACTTCATTTCGGAAGAATGGCCTTGACGTCTTTGACAGGAGCAGACAGGAGCTTTTGTTGTGGTTCAGCTTGTTGCCATTCGCCACATTCAGTTTTCTTTTCCAGAAGTAGTTTGCTGTTTTCTCTGACAGTTTGATTTCACTGCGTCCAGCTTTCTGCAATGCAATAACCTGGCTTTTGTTTTGATTAGTGTTTGGTTTGCATTTTTAGATAACTGATTCGATCGGTACCTTTCGAAGAGGAAGGCATTTGGAGGAGCTATGATGGGGGCAACGAATATAGGAGCCCTCTGTGTGTTGGTGATCGTCTCCTTATCAAGGTATGCATTTATCAAAAACCATATTCCCATAGAATCACTGGCAGATTTACGAACCCACTTACTAGGCACTCCATCCCATCCCTCTCTCCTGCGGCTGACTTGTTGCTGACAGAGAGGAAGGTTTGTCAAAACCCGTGCTAACCAAGCAGCAAAATAAATATCCATGGTTTGAACGTTAATTTCATATCTTTAACAAAATCTATTCTATGCACTCCTCAGTAAAAATGATTGAAATCTTTGAGAGTTGACAGCTGCTCTTCCGTTAGGCGTGGAGGAGATAGATCTGCATGTTATCTCTGTTGAAATACTTCCCATATCCTTGAAGCCACCAAGCAGACGTCCCGCACCGACGAGCCGCGTCGCGTCGTCTGCTCAGAGTGCACAGTGCACTATCGGGTCTCGGTGTGCCTCGCGGTGCGCGGTACCCGTCTCATGCTGATTCTGATACCGAAGGGGGACGTCCCACGTCGCGCTGGGGAAGGAAGGAGGGGTCCGGCGATCCCCGCTCCACCGGAACTCGCAGGGGGAGCGGGGTGGGGGCAGTGACGCGAGGAAGGACGGAGAGGTGTCTCTCTTTCGAGGACTTTTCGAAGGAAGCTATTTGGACGAGGCTTGTGGGTGCATATTCACGCCTCGGAGGCTCGCCGTTCCGTTCGCCCTACGCTGGTAGGCAACCCTTCCGTCGCTGGTAGGCAACCCGGCCGTCGCTGGTAGGCAACCCTTCGCACGGCGGATATTGCTGTTGCTATTATCGGCTGGACCACTAATGATGATATGTCTTTGAGGCCCAGGCGCCGAGGCCTGAGGCCAGCAGCCAGCAGCCAGCCCGCCGCGTAGTGTAACACGGCCTGTCGGCCTGTCGCTCTCCGGCCGGTCGTCACATCCCGTCCGTGATTGAGAGGGTCGTGTTGTGCCCACGTTATCTCGCCCAAGGTCAATTCCAAACAGCAAACGGAAAAAAAAAATCACAAAAAAAATCTGTTTGAAGCTTGTGTGCTTAAGGCCTCTCGTTTATGGAGAAATTGTTATAAAAAAAAAAGGGAGTTCTGGATTGTGGTTTGCTTGTTACAGTGCCGAGGCTGCTGGAATTCCTTCCAAGGATTGGGATTACATCATTTTTACGCAGCACTGGCCAGCCACTGTTTGCCTGCAATGGAAAGCGGAGGGCACTGGCCACTCGTGTGCTCTTCCAAAGGCGAGCATGTGGACTGTGCATGGAGTATGGTGAGTTTTTCTCAAGTGCTATTGTGTTTTACCTTTGTTCACTTTTAATCCGGTTTCTGTTACTCTGATGTGGTTTCATTCACAGGCCTACAAAAAACAACACTAAAGGGCCCATGTTTTGCAACAAATCCCTACCTTTTGATGAAGAAGCCCTGGCACCAATTGCCTCAGATCTCCAAAATTACTGGATCAATATAGACATGCCTACACCTCCGTACTCGTTCTGGAGGCATGAGTGGGAAAAGCATGGAACTTGTGCTGCTGCTCTCCCTGCCTTGCACAAGGAAATTGACTACTTCAGCCAGGGCCTTGATTGGCTTAAAAAGTTTAATATGTACACTGCTTTACAAAATCAGGGAATCCATGAGGGCAATGCTTACATGGTGAAGAACATCAGAGAGGCTGTGAGGGTCCAGTTTGGAAAACTTCCTACGGTTCATTGTTACAAAGATTCGGTAAGTATTTATTGTTTTTGTTTTTGAGAAACATCTTATTCTCATATGATGATAAATGTTCTCTTTTTAATTTTTTAGAACACCGGAAAGAGTTACCTCTTTGAAATAAGGCTGTGCTTTGACAAGAGTCTTAAGAATATAAACTGCCCCAAAGCCTGTTCAACAAACTGCCCCAACGTCCCAATTGAATATCCGACTTTGAGTGATCTCAACAAGCGAGTGGAGGTAAAGCGTAAGTGGCTGCTTGATCTTTTGCGCATTGTTCGCTGGATTCAATGGATCACTTACTAAAGTTTTAGAAATTGTATTCTGTTTCCAATTTCTCATTTTCTGCCTTCATGTGTCAACAAAAAATTTGGGAAATACTTGAGAAGGACATTCTCATAATGCTTTTATGGGTATTTTACTTCAGCAGTATACTTTGATGCTAAGTCTGCAAATTTGTAGCCCAGTGTAAGTAGATGCCATATTTGTTGAGTAGACATAAATTTCAAAGCATAAATTTTAGTGCAAAGCTGAGAAGAATGAAATTTTTTACTGTCACACTCAAACAATGGAACATGTTCACCTAATTGGAGCATTCTTTAGTTAAAATTATCAGGTGATTGAGTCAGTGGTGTAGGTCCCATTTCCTTGTACAAGACACTCAAGATTTACTTCTGCTGTGATATCTCTTTTTCTTCCTGTTAGTTTGTCTTCTGTTTTCTTCCATACCAGTAAATAGTGTATGGAGAGACATTTATGGCTTCCTCTCTGCTAGATATATGCATGACATATTCTGAATCTTTGTTAGCTACCCTTTTTTTCATGTAAGTAAATTTTAAATATTAAAATGTTGTCTACAATACATAGAACTACATTATAAGTATGAAAATGTGAATTAGAATAATTTAATTATGTGCATCAATATGAGATTTCTAGTCATCTATCTCTTTCATGCATGGTTGTCTATATCTGTGCCTTATTCTTGAATCAAATCTGAAATGGTTTTTCTGTTTTTGCTCTCCTCTGCCAACAATCCATTTCATTCCATTTGCAGCTACATTTTCTTGTGTGGATGAAAAGTGTTTCCTGTACTCTAATTAAAAGTTTTGTTTCTTCCTTTTGTCTGGATTTAACTAAGGTGAACACACAGACATATTCATGATTGATTGTGAATGATATGAAGGCTGACTTACCTCTTTTTCTGTTATTGTATGAACTGAGAGGAATCAACTGTACTGTTGATACCTCTCTCTCTCTATCTTTCCCATCTTGTACTTTTGCTTCATATATTAAGTTATTGGAATGATTGTCTGAAGATGATGTCTAATGCTCAATAGTATTCCATCTTTGGAAAACTACTTCCACTCTCTATTCTTACCATCTGCAACGAAAAGCATAAGAAGGATCTGTGATTTTGAGCTCTTGTGTATCTTGTGTGACATCTCATGGTTGTGATTTAAAGTACTGTTTACATTGTAAATTTTTCATGTTGCCGGAAAATTTTAAAATTAACTCACATAGATGGTACCCCCACACTTACCAGTAGTCAAACTCTGCCCAAAAATTTACCACCTTCCTAAATTGTTAATAAATTTTACTGCTTTTAGAATGACAGCTTGAACTTCTAAAGCCCTTATAGTGACATTTTCTTCAGTAACCTTTGTCTTGCATATTTTCTTATTCAAACGAAAATTTAGGACTGTGTATACTACTTGTTAATATGGTGTTAAAGAACCATATTGCCGTTGGGGAAACTATCTGTGTTTAATCGGTGTGGAAAGTTGCTTGAATCATTATATTTGGTTCAGGAAATTGGTTGGAATAAAATATAATGTAATTTATCACTGAACAATTTATTAAGAGAATCTTAAAATGGTTATAATAGTTCATCACATTACATACACAGGTAATATTTCAGTTGCCCACATGTTTGACACTTTTGAAAAGCTCCAAATGATGAGCATTATTTCAGAATTCATCCAATCCACATTGTGCTATAGAGTAATCACAGAAGCCACAGAAGAGTTTTTCTAAGTTATTACTGAGCTTTAGCAACAATTAACACAGAAGATGGCACAAGACCTAGCAACCAGAGAAAACAAAAAGGTTAACAATGTTCTCAACAATATTCTAATATCATAAATGATCTTTATGAACATACCAAGAATTTCAAGTGGTTTCTCATAATCTTCAAAGGCGAACACTTTCCTTGGAAATGAGGTCATTAAAGAAAATGGTGCGTCTCCATCAGTGCGGTTCATTTCAATGTACACTCTCACTGCTGAAAGTGTTTCTTTAGCCCCAAATGTTTGAGTAAGGGCTTGACCATTAGTAAGTCGTATCTAGGAGAGAACAAAAGAATGGAGTCACACAAAACGAACCATACTATCATATCATTTATTTGAAGTTCACCTGCCAATGAGTTTTTATACTAACCTGAAGCCTAGTTTCACTGTAATCTTTCGGTGCAGAAGGTGTAGCCGGTTTGACTTGGACAGGCACAGGTGCTGGAGCTGGGGTTACCGGGGTAATTCCCGCTGCTGCATCAGCCTTGGCTTTCCTTGCTGCTTTATCAGCTTCTATTTGTGCTCGAACTCTATCTCTTGCTCTCTTGTCATCCTCTTTCTCTCTTCGTCTCAACTCGGCCATCTTCTTTATTTCTTGCTCTTCAAGCCTGAAGTAACACAAAAGCCACATAAAGAATTTCAGTGACTATAATTATTATCAAATTAATTTGTAAAAATGTGTAAACTTACTTGCGCTTTGCTTCAATCATCTCTTTCCCTGAACGAATACGATTTTTCTCTTTCTCGAGGGCTTCTAGCTTCTCCTTCTCTTCGCGCTCTTTTCTCTTCATTTTCAGCTTTTCTTCTAGCTTCCTGACTTGCTCAGCCTTCTCTTCCTCTGTCAATGGTTTCTTTTCCTCAGTGGACTCGGCAAAGTCTGTATGCCCAGTTTTGGCAGCATGGAATTCAACTTCAGACTGGGTCTTAAAAAGCTTATTGCATCTATGGGTAAATACAGAAAAATGAGCATTTTTATTGGCATTTATCAAGCAGAAATTATTCAAAGAAGAGGAATCTAATGTCTTACTCATTGCATTTGAGTGACTTAGCCTCTGCTTCGGCAGTCTCTGCACTTGCGGCTTCTTCTCCATTTGCATTGGACGAGGCAGCAGCGCCACTTGAACTAGATTCCACGTCATCATTATGAGCCAACAGCCTGAAAAATTAAATATATTCCCTCAATATCAAATCAGTGGAACAACAGAAAGAATGTTGCTGAAACCATGGCTGGATGATGTGAGGTTGTCAGTAAAAAGAGAGTCAAAAAGAACATTAGAGTCAAAAAAATTATGGGTGTGAAAGATGGTCGTATCCAAGTGAGCATGAAGTACTCGTCTGGCGAGAACTGGACGACCGATTAAGTAAGTTACCACTCCATTGCCGGTTCCACTCCTTTGTTGCCAGTCATTTGTAGAGCCTTCTCCCTGAAAGAAACGAAACAAAAGCGATTTTCAAAAAGGCTGGAAGCCACACACAAGACAAAAGCCCACTTCCGAGATGCAGTGTTTTCCAAAAGCCTTTGGCTGGTCATTGTAGGGAATACATTGAACTCGGAGGGGTTATGGTCGATCCGCCGACATGATTCGACACAAAACTTACGCTTTCTCGCGAAGGAAGCCCATGTCAATCAGCATATCAACATCTGCCGAAGACATGGTGGCTTGATGAAACTTCCCAGAACAACTAAGTAAAACAAATCTTCCTTTCGGAAGCGTAAACGATGATTTGTAGACGATTGCTGTTGTTGTCAGTGTCACTTACGTTCACGAGTGTAAATAGCCGACGCACTTATTCGCACCACATCTTCTCTGCAGGCAGGAGCAGGCGCCAGTTAGGTTAGGAAGGTTAGAGTCAGGGAAAAGTTTCGAATTTAATTCGAAAGCTCTAGTTCAAATAAGTGGAGCCCTTTGCGCAGCTAGTGCGAAGCGGGACTCGTTGTTTTAGTACCTCTCGATCGTGAAACAACGAGCGTATCCTGCTGTAGTCATCCTCGACCTGGAAATGTTTTGTTTTGCTATTGATCTCCTTGTAAAATGAAAGTAACTATTAAAAGTAAGTACCCTTTCTTGGACCCACTTGGTTCATTTACCATTATATTGATGTCACCACTAGTTAATATTTTTACCTGCTCATTTGAAATGTTAAGAATGAATGCTCTGGAAGTGAAGTGTGTGTTTACCACTTGAGCCTCATTGGCCCTATGCATTGTGCCAGTTAGCATTTGTGTGCAACCTCAGTGCTTCTGTATCTCATTCCTGTTGTGTACCTTCCAGGCTGGACCGGAGTAGCTACATGGAGATGGGTAGCAAATGACGACACCTGCGGTATTTGTCGTTTAGCTTTCGATGGTTGTTGTCCCGATTGCAAACTGCCAGGAGATGACTGTCCTCTAGGTAACCAACTATGTTTGAATTTAATTAATTTTTTGTCATGGTTTTTGAAGCTACTACTCACAGTGAATTAATCATCTCCTTGCCTTCTGCTTTCCAGTTTGGGGCCAATGTTCTCACTGCTTCCACATCCATTGTATTATGAAATGGCTGAATGCCCAGAACGTTCATCACCAGTGTCCCATGTGTCGCCAAGAGTGGAAGTTTAAGGAATAAGGCTGTGAGTATCAATTCATCAAACGAATTCTCATGGAAACTCACCCTTTTCAGGAGTAGTCAATGCATGATAATTAGATCTCTTTAAAATTGGGCGTGTCCAGTCGTTTCAGGGAAGATTCCTTGGATGTCAGTGCAAAAGTTAATGAGGGTGATCCCACCTCACCACACCTTTCCCTAATGCTGTGTCCTTGGTTTCCTCCATCCAGGCATTCGTGGTTTGCGGGAGGGTGTCCTGTTACAGCAGCGTCTCCTAATCTGTGAAAGGTATGTGTAACAGTCTGGGCAGCGCAGGCAGCGCTGGCCTCTGACTTTGACCCCCTTCCCGTCTGCCGCGGGTTATGCAAACGGACTCGCTCGCTCTCTCGCACTGCATCGCGTCCCCACTGAGTGCGACAGAGAGAGCCGGCGGCTTTTCCGACCGCGTAGAGTTCATGCAGGTCACATCGCGGGGCCATGTGAGGCCCGGAAGGAGAGGGGGGGGAGGTTGCGAAAGTGACTTGGTCCACGCGGCCCTTCCAGGACTTCCAGGCACCCGCCTCGCCTTGGCCGCCCACACGCGCATCGTGACATCGTGACGACGGAATAACGTGCAAAATAACTGGCAGTAATGTTTTTGCCTACAGTTCGGAACCTCTCTTGCTAGGTTAGCCCGGCTGGGCTGGCTTGTTTGGGACGCCCCCCAGCAGCGGTCTGTCTGTCTCTCGCGCTCGCGGCTCGCTCCGTTGGGGTGCGAGAGAGACGGTGCCGCACGTGGGGTCAACGGCCATAATTCGACCACACTATTGAGCCCAACGTGACGGGGCTCTTGTGTTGTGGAGGCTCCTCTGGACGGGGGGAGTCGGCCAATTTGGACGCGCAGCGCGCAGGCCGCGGTGTCCTCAGACATCCTCCGGACGTCGGCCCCGGGTTCTAATCCCCGTTTTCCCTCGACAGCTTTATTTTTTTGCTATTTTGATCTGCGCGCGCGGTTCACGCCGTGGTCCGCTTCCGTCCGATCGCGGTGTGCCTCGAAGTTGCGCCACTGGCATTGGCCAAACTGAGAGCATGAGGCTGCCTGGGCCGGCCTGGGCTGGCCGCAATCCGTAGGGCTGGCCGCAACGATTTATGGGGTGTTTTTCTCGAGCACCCGCCTTGCCTCTCCCTCCCCCCCCCCTTTTCCCCATTCCCCTCTCACGTTCCGCCGCTTCCTTCTCCTTCTTCTTTCGTGGCGGAACACGGCGGGCGGACGAGGAGAGAAGATCACGCCTTTGAAATCTTTTTCATCCGTTTGAAAGCGGCCCGGCCCGGGCCGTACCGTGGCGGAAGGACTTAGCTGGCCGTGTGGGTCGTCACGCCGCCGCGCGGTCGCGGGTTCAAATCTCGGCTCCTAAATATTTTCCCCTCTCATTCTGTGGCTACCTGGCGGGGAGGGGAGGGGAGGGGAAGTCCACCCGGTCCTCGCCGTCGCACAGTGCGCCAGAGGACCGGTGGAGGCGGCCAAAACTCTAGACGCATTTTGATCTCCAGAGTCGCTAAATGGGACTCGAACCGAACGTGTGATCCTACCAATGGATTCCTCTCCGAACGAGGAAACCATTGGTGGGGGTCACACGTTCGGTTCGAGTCCCATTTAGCGACTCTGGAGCTCAAAACGCGCCCGGGATTTCGACCGCCTCACCGGTACTCTGGCCCACTGCGTCGTGCGAACCTACTGCACGTACTCCGGTGCGGCACGGTCGGCAAGGGAGCTCCAATGTCTAAGGGCCGAGTGGGAAACGGCTTCATTTTTCAGCCGGATTGCGAGCCGTGCCGTGCGCCGCCGTGCAGCACGTAATGAGCCCCACGTCCTCGGTGTACCTACAGTGGTACAGTACTGCACGCCGCGTTATTGCAACAAATGTTTGACCGCGAATCCGGCGCTCCCTCTTTATTTCTGTCGCTCGAGGGTGCGGCCCGGTGCCGCCCCGCCGGCTAAAAGCTGTTTTGACGCTCGCCCATTGTTCGGAACCAACTGTCCTGTACGTGCCGCACCTTGGTGTGTTGTTGAAGGCTTTCGGGCTTTCGAGGCACTTGCAGGCGGTCATTCCGAGTGGGGGTCTCGCTCTGTCTCTGTCGCACTCCCGGAGCGTGCCCGACGTTCTAGTCGTGTGCGAGAGAGACAGAGCCCGGAGTGTGGACAGGGTCCATTCATTTTGCGTACCAAACTGAGAGTCCGAAAAAGGATCATTAGTGTTGTGAGGAAAAGTGGGCAACCCCTTAAGGTCGTCCATAGCCTCCAGGGCTCTCTACTGTTTCACGCCTCTCTGTCGTCGTTTTAATCCGTGTTGTTTTTTGTTTAAACCTGCTCCTCTTTTCTCCTTATTATTTCATGTGCTGTCTCGTCTTATTGTGTGCTATGGGGCGCCGCGTTTCGCTTCACTGGGGAACCCCTCTTTTTTCCTCTCCTGGCGTGCCGTGCCGTGCCGGCCGTGCGCGCTTAGACCTACCTAGATCTAGCCAAGCCGGCCGAGTCCTGCTTGAGCCGTTTGCTTGAGCGTCTGCCCTGCCGCAAAAATACCCCTTAACCAGCCATGTAGTTTTTAAAAAAGATCCTTTTTTTTTAAAGATGTGGTGTTGCCTGTTTAGGGGTGGTCCAACGTTGGGAAGGAAGTAACTGTTTCTGCCATTTCTTGAGTAGTATCGCAAAACGCTCCTAGGGAGCAGGGGGAGGGGAGAGAGGGAGAGAGAGAGAGAGGCCGTTTACCGCGTTGCCGGCGATCGACAGACGACGCCTTTGTGGTTCTTCCTCTTCTTTTGGCGCGGTTAGCCGGAAAATGGCTATGGCCGAGGGCCGAGGGCCTGGCGTGCTGGCCTGGCGACTCGCGCGTGGGACGCTGCAATGTAGAAAGAAAACGCCAAAGAAAATACTTTGCTCGGCGCCACGTGCACGGAGGCCCTCGCGGTTTCCTTCGGTTTCCTTCCGGACAACAACAACAAAACCCTTTCTTTCTCCTCTGCTTCGCTGGCCTGACCCTTCGGCCCCCTTCGGCCCCCTTCGGCCGGGGAGGTGCCCGGAGATCCGGCCTGGCCGCCTCGCGGTCGTCGTCTTCCAACAATTGGCTCGTGGACGTTTAACCAATGTAACCAATAGGGTTCAAATTTAAAATAAAGTCAATGAGATACTGTAAAAAAGCAAACTAAACAGGACTGAAAAAAAAATTTTTTTTTCTTGAAATAAGTAGTCAAAATAATAAAATAGAAATAAAGTATTTTTCTCTCTCCGGTGACAACTTTGTCCCCGACGGGACGTCAGTCTGAGGCAAGCGCCTAGGCATCCTGGGCGGTGGTGCCGGGTAACAGGACTGTTCCGACGCTCTGTCTCGCTCTGCCGCGCGCCGATTGTGCCGCCCTTGCTTGCGGTCAGCGCGCCGCGAAAATTCCCACGAACGGCTCCGCCTGCAGCGGGCTGGTTCCGAGCGAGAGGTCCTGTCGGGTGGTCTCCCTCGCACCCGTGGGGACGCCCCTTGAGTGCGAGGGAGTGAGTGGACCTCGCGGGCTTCGCCTGCTTCGCCGGGCGGCGCCTGGCCTGTCCGTACGCGATCGGCTGGCGATGGAATGCGTTATTGCCGTTATTGCGGCTGTATTTGTTATTTATTCGTGAGATTTTTCTCAATCGCTTTGTAGTACCGCTAGGTCGTTTTGTGTACGTGCTGTGCACACTGTCATTTAAGAGGGAGAATTTTTTTTTTGGAAGGGTCTGACTTGAGCGCCTTGCCGCGTCGCCGGTTTGATGATCTTCCTCCGCCCCTGCTATGTCTGTCGCTGCGCCTAACAGCCTGCACGCGCCGACGAGGGTCGAGGAGAAGCAAGGTGCACACTAGGAATTTCAACACTGCAAATCCAAAGGAGATACTTTTAGTACCTTTTTTGGCGATTGAGTATTGCCAGAAAATCCTACAGAAAATCCTGCCTTCAAAGAGGAGATACACAATTCGCCAAATCTTGGCGATACTTTTGTGTGCCGCCGTTTTGAGGGCAAGATTTTTACGGTAAGGCCGTTGTTGGTGATGTACAATTTTATCGCCAAAAAAGATAATCGAGTATCGCCTTTGGATTTGCAGTGAAACTCTCCAAAATTTTTCTAAAAATTATTATAAATTTTAAAAAATGCTACTTTTTTTGAAAAGACTAAATATGTTCACTAAACTTTCGTAACAATTCCTTCCTTACTAAGTCTCCATAAAAAAATAAAAACAAAGAAAAAAAACCAAGTTAACTGAGGAAGGTGTAGTACACTTTAAAATTTGTTTCCCCCTTTGTCTCACACCTGCACGACTTGTCACACTGCTGCCTCATTTGACTGCTGCAGCGCCCAATTAATTTCTTTCGCAACGCCTTGCCTCTCTTTTGTGCAATTAAAGCGGTGGGTTATTGTGGCGGCTCTAGCGGTGCAGCGGCGGGCGTGGCGGGGCCAACCTCGCGGGGGCGTTCGGCAAGCACGTTATAACGCGGAAAATAATGTAAATACAAATTAACTCCCTGTCAAAAATTTTAAAGAGAAACAAATACTTTAGGCTCTTATTTAGAGTTCTCGTGGCACCGTAATAGCGGGTCTACTGCGAACGGGTTGCCATCGCTTTTATAAATGATGCGCAAAAAAAAAAATTCGTCTAGAACGGGGGGCTGTTGACTGCGAGTGACTTGATCCCCTGATCTGTTTTGACCGAGTTTGAGTGACGACCCCCTGCATGCTGGTTGTGCACGGCGGTCTGGCACGCTGCGCTCGCGGCGCACGCGCTCTCGGTTTCGTCATTTAGCGCCGAGCGGTTGGATTCGGAGGGGGGCGGCACTTATTTAGTGACCCTCCCTCTCCCCCTGCTCCCCCTGCGCAAGGGCCTAGGCTGCATTTAGAAGTCACCGGGATGCGTCCAAAATTAAACGAGTGTTCACCTCAAGGCCTGACTCGGCGACACTCCCCCCCCCCTCCCCTTTTTTCCCGGTGGTCACGCTGCGCGCTCCCGTGTGGCTTTGGAAGCCCTCGCCCTTTGTAGCCCCAAGGGCTTAACTCCTTGTGCAGCCAAAGACAATTTTGCTCTCGACATATTTTCTCTCGTTATTCGGGCTTCGCGCCCCGTGCGGGGCCCCGTGGGGAAAGCCGCTCGAGGCGCAAGTCATATTTAGAGTGGCGGCGTCTGTCGTTGGTTGTGGGGGCCTTGCACTGTTAATTTTTTTTTTTTTTTAGGAAATCCCCGGGCAGCTTGTAGGGGGTAAAATTTGGCCGCGATCTGCGGAAAATTCCCAAAACCCCTTTGTTTGTTTTGTCTCAATTTTTTTAGTTTCCGGCTGGTATGCCTAGAGTTCATATTTAACCTGTTTGAAAAAAAAAGTTCCTGGAAGAAACTCCCGACAGAGCTTCGGAATTTCCTAATTTCTTTTTAACAGTGTGGCGGCTTGTGGCGCGAGTCGTGAGCATTTCTATCTCACTTCTTTTACCAATCTGTCATGTTATCAGCCGGTCCGTCGTTTAGTCAGTTTGCCGATCGAGACTTGCACAGTCAGCCACTTAGTTTGTCAGTGCCAGTCAGTCAACCGGTCAGTGGGTGTGGGAACGGATGGGGAGAGGGGGGGGGGGATGATGCGTATACGATGGGAAGGTGAGAGCCTCTGGCAACAAGCTTGCCGGAATCGTGAGCTTTCGCACCCAGATCTTGAATGGTCGAGTTCCGTGAAATAGGCCTGGAGTCTACCTGAAATCGCCTTTTGGAGTCTGGGTGGCTGGGGAGCGGTGGAGGTCTGTCACGTTGGGCAGGGGGAGGGGGGGGGAGGGTGAAGATGAAGAAAAATAACTGTCGCGAAGTTCTTATGCCGTTTATGACGAGACTTGAACTCACGCCACCCCGTCCAGTTTTCTCTAGTCCTTCATTACGTGTTTCAGGTTGTCTCCCGAACATAAAATCAACATCCTGCGCTGCAGCCCTTTGCTTCACTGAAAGTGCTTGTCCGCGGCTGTTCTGAAAAGAGGCTGCTTGAGGGCTGCGACTCAACACGGATCTTAAAGCCTTAGTTACGAGGCTTTAGAACACATCGAAGTATCCGTGCCTTCACTTTAACGAAGGACTTTTTGGAACGTTTTTATTAATCTTCTAATTTAATCTTAATAATAAATTAAACAATAAACCTGGTTCTCGAAGTAATTAATCGATCCTATTGAACCCGTTTATCTTTCATCGTCCGCATTACGATCACAATATTTTATCTCTAAGTTGAACCATCTTTTCATACGGCTTTGGAGTAAGTCACTCGGCTTTGTTTTGATGCGAGGGCCCAGTGTGGTGGTCTTTGGCGCAGTGCCGTCGAGGTTCTGCCGCCAGGTTCTCGGCCACCTGGGTGGGGGTGTGCGGTAGGGCGGGCGGGGGCTGCCGAACATGCTTTACCACGCAGTTCTGGGGCCAACAAACTCTGGCGATGCCAGAAGCTGAAGCTGCCAGAGGCTGCCAGAGGTGGAGCATCCTGTATCTAGTATCTCTGGGCTCAGAGGAAACGACTATGGTGGTGTTGACTGTCGTTAAAGGCGGCACGAGAAATAACGCGCTCACTAGAAAAAAAACCTAAAATATAGACCAGTCGTGGCCAAGTGGAGAACAAGAAGAATCACAAAAGACTCAGTTTGGTCATTTAGAGTACATTTATTCACTGAAAATATGTTGCATTTACAATAAAATATTCTCACTAACAAGCAAAGGGTCTTAAATATGCAAAGTTAAAGTGCTAAAAAGTTGTCTTTTGTGATTCTTCTTGTTCTTCACTCGGCCATGACTAGAATGATCTATTCTCTCCTGTTGAAGCCAATATCGATGCCGTTGACTTTGTGATTTCATTTCTTGATTGTGCTCTGCTGTTTGTAACTAGTTTAACATTCCTTGACACAGTACGTAATGTTTTTTAATGAAATAAACGCGCCTTGTGTAGTTTTCCTTAGTTACCATCTCTCCTTTGATTCAGGCAGACTATCTGTGGTCCAGCAAGCCAGCCATCCAAGCGGCGCTCGGGCGGCGCTGTGAATCCCGTCACGCACCGCTGTCTGCAGGTTGCCTACCCCGTCTTTCACAGGCGCTCATACTTGACCAAAGCGACTTTCCCACGACTTTCCTTGGCTTTTCCGCAGCCACTTCCCTGGCGCTTTCCGACACAGGGGCCAAGCAGTGAGTTTGCAGCAGTGAGCCGACGCGCTCTGGTCGTGACTGTGTAACGCCCAGCTTAACGCCGTCACTCTGCCTCTCTCGCACTCGTGCGGCGTTCCGATAGGGTGCGGGAGGGACGGCGAGGAGCTTGCGCGCTGGGTCCTCCTTGTCGGCCGCCTTGTCGCACGCGGCCGGCTGGCGGGGCCCGCGGCCCCTCCCCCGCTCACCCCACCTCCCTCGCCGATGGGCCGCTCTTGCCACGGTTTGCTGGCTTGGCGCAGCTTGGCGCGGGTATCCGCGGCGCCCGATGCAGCCGGCCGGACCGAGCTGGCAGCCCACGGCCGCCAGGCAGGCTGGCAGCAAGCGAACGGCCGGGGCCCGCGGCCCGCGCCAGCAGTAGTATGCCATTGGCCGCCGTGGCGCGTGGAGCCTGGCGTAGCCGTCGCGTCGCCGTCCTCCCCGTGACATGCGGCCGCCGAGTGCGACGTGTCCGACGAGTCCGGAGCGCCGTGACGTGACGCGAGTGTGCGCCGCGATGGCGACGTGAGCATGGCGTGCATGGCCCGACGCCATGCTGAGGATGTCCACGCCGTCGCTCATGGCGTCCAGCGCGTCCAGCGGCGTGCTGGCCGGTGTGGGGGCGGCGCACGGGCACGCCCCCCGCGGCAACCCGAACCACCACCAGAGGCCGCTGCCGCCGCCCCCGGTGCCGCCGCGGCCTAGCCGCTCCGTGGTGGCGGAGGCGTTGGCGCGCACGCGGCGGGGCGGCAGCGCGCCGCGCGACGCGACCGAGTCCGGCACCGTGATGGTGGTGCCGGTGACGCCGACGAGGCGCGCGCCGCCGCCGCCCGGCCAGACGCCCCAGCAGCCGCCCTCGCAGCCGCCGGCCGCGCAAGCCGCGCCACCGGGACCACGCGCTTCGCGGGGCAGGCCGCCGCCGCTGCCGGACCAGCCGCCCGTGGCGGTCGTGAACGGCACGCCCAGGTCGCGGTCGGCGGGCCGCCGCCTCAAGGACACCCCCGCGCCCGCACTGCCGCCCTGGGCCCTGGACAAGCAGCGGCACGCGCCGCCCGAGCACGCCGTCGACGTGGTGGGCAAGGCCTCGCGCGAAGCGGACGGCGGCGGCGGCCGTCTCCGGTCACCGTCGAAGCCCCTGGTCCTGAGCCGGCGCCCCAGCCCTGCCGGCAGCCCCGCGCCGTGCGCCAGCCCCCGGCTACGCCGCGCCAGCCCCACCGTCCTAGTCATCGACCCCAACCACGACTCGCAGCTCAGCTCGCTGGACTCGGGCAAGGCGTCCGAGGACGCGGACGGGGACTGCTCCAGCGGCGGCAGCGCGCGCATGAGTGACTCTGACGGCGGCCGCAGCGTCGGCAGCGGCGTGCAGCTGCGCCGCCGGTCGCGAATCCTGCAGTCGGACTGGTTCGAAGTGGAGGGCGACGGCAAGGAGGTCCGCTACTCCAGCTGTCAGATCACGATCGAGGACCCCAAGTCCGTGGCCCCGGCCAGCCCCGTGCCCCCGGCCAGCCCCGTGGCCCCCAGCCCCAACAGCAACGGCAGCAACGGCGTGACGGTGGTGGTGTCCGCGCTGCACGGACTGCACAACGACGCGCTCAGCCCGCTGAGCTGTGTGGCCCCTGATTGCAGGACCAACGCCGGCCTCAAGCGCCTCGTCATGGCGTCCCTGCAGGGCCTGCCGCCGCTGCCCAAGAGCCTGAGCGGCGCCAACCTGCTGGACGGCAGCGGGCTGCTGTTCACGCCGGCCGAGATGGCGGCCGTCACCGGCATGGCGCCGCCCGCGCCCGCACCCGGCGGCGGCTCCGGCGCGCCCTCGCCCGGCTCCGGGTCCGGGTCCGGCCTCAGCCACTCCGGGAGCTTCCGCCACCACTCGAGCGGCAGCCTGAGCTCGCGGCCCACGCCCCCCAGGGGCACCACGCCGCCGACGGGGCCCTCGGGGCCCGCGGGGTCGCGCAACGGCTCGCCCCTGCAGAGCATGTCGGTGCCGCCGCCGCCGCCGCCCCGCACCGCTCGCCAGGGCAGCCGCACCGCCGCCAGCAGCCTGGACGCCCAGCTCGCCGTGCTCAGGAAGGAGATGGTGAGTGCCGGCCCCGCCCCACAGTGGATTTGCCAGAAGACCGGTGGTGGTGGCCAAGACTCTAGACGCGTTTTGAGCTACTGAGTCGCTAAATGGGACTCGAACAGAACGTGTGACCCCACGAATGGACTGCCCTCCGGACGAGGAATCCATTGGTGGGGTCACACGTTCGGTTCGAGGCCTGTTTAGCGACTCTGGAGCTCAAAACGCGCCTAGAGTTTTGGTCACTTCTACCGGCCCACTGTGCGCCCTCGGCCCTTGGCCCTGGCGAGGCGCGTAGTCCTAGCTTCACTTTTAGTTTCGTGCGCGGTGACTCAAATCAGCTGCTTTCGTAGTGAGTGAGTGTTTGTGCACGCTTTGTGTGGCTTGGCCCCGTCGTTGCCTCATCGGTGCCGTTTTACAGTGTGGTTGCTTGATAACCGCGTCGTGCCCAAAGCACCCAGTGCGCCGAGCGACCGCCAGGGCCCCGCCTTCCTTGTGCGCCAACTGGAGCGCCGGTCGGTGGCATCGCACTCGTTACCTAAGCCGATTGCTCCTCCGCCCCTCTTTGGGCTTGCCGCCTGCTGCCGCGCGGTGTCGCTCTGTCTCTCTCGCACCCACGCAGCACGTCGCGCCGCCGGCGTCGGATGGAGAGACTGAGACAGACAGAGCGGCGAGATGAAATTGAGACAAGTTTTAGGTTGGTTCTTGCGGTGGCTCCGTCGGTTTGTCGCCTCTCGTTGCGTCAGCGCGCTGCAGCGGACCCCGCCTTGATCGAACCGGGTGCCTTCGGGCCTTACTTGCAGTGGAGGGGGAGGCGTGGCGAAGCGGAGCCAAGCGGAGCGTGCCAAGTGGAGCCGAGTCGCGGAAGGTCGCCCACTAAAAGACGGCGACGACGACGTCGTGCTTTTGATACGGCCCCAATGCGTGTCTGCTAAGCGATTCCGAAGGACCCGGGGCCGCATCGCAGTGGGCCAGAAGACCGGTGGAGGCGGACAAACCTCTAGACGCGTTTTGAGCTCCAGAGTCGCTAAACAGGACTCGGACCGAAATTGTGACCCCAACGCAATGAATTCTTTGTTCGGAGAGCAATCCATTGGTGGTGTCACAGGTTCGGTTCGAGCCCCGTTTAGCGACTCTGGGGCTCGAAACGCGTCTAGAGTTTTGACCGCCTGCACCGGCCTTCGGGCCCGCTGTGTGCATGCCGTTGAAGCTAATTTGACGTTTTGGGACCAGAAGCGCCTGCGGGGTAGGCAGTCCCGTTGAGCTCCGCTGTCGCCGTGCTGCCTACCCTCCAGGGGTTCGGCTCCAATCTTCGCTGCCGCGCCTTCCTGGAGTTCCCGGTGAATGCGGCGGTTTGTTTGCGGATTCGCGGCCAGTCGTCGCCAGTGAGTCACGCCGCGACCGATTCGCTCGCTTCGCTGGCAGCGTGCCTTTGGGAGCGAGCGAGGCCCCGGGGGCCCGCCCTTGGGCCCGCCGCAGGGCAGGGGGGTCTCTCGGCCAGGTCGGTCGGACATACGGACGGCTTCTAGGTCGGCTGCTGCGAGTGTCGGGGCACGCTTCTCCATCTGCCTCGCACAGTGGGTTTGCCAGAAGACCGGTGGAGGTGGCCGAAACTCTAGACGCGTTTTGAGCTCCAGAGTCCAGAGTCGCTGAATGGGACTCGAGCCGAACGTGTGACCCCACCAATAGATTGCGCTGCGAACGATGAATCCATTGGTAAGGTTACACGTTCAGTTCTAGTCCCATTTAGCGACTATGGAGCTCAAAACGCGTCTAGAATTTTTGCCGCCTCCATCGGTCTTCTGGCCCACCGTGCAGTGGAGTGGCGGAGGCTTGGCTTCGCCGCCGGCTAGCGGCTCGGTGAATGAATCACGCGTTGACCTTGCCGTTCAATCAGTGCAGCGGGCCGGCCGGGCCTGGCCGGGCCGGCACTGCGACCAAAAACCTAGAAAACCCCAAACCAGGTGCGGCCGCCCGCCAATGCCACGCGGCGAGCAGCGCCATTTCGGAGCCCGCTGCGCTTTGCAAACCCAACCGCACACCTTTTCATGCTGGTGCCGTGCGTGTTGTATGACCCCCCCCCCCCCCCCTCCGCGCCGCCCGTAAGCCGGTTCTGTCGCCGGGTTGCCCCTCCCCTCTAACGCCTCCTTGTTTTCTCGGGTACTCCGCGGTGGGGGCGTTGGTGTGCGTGCGTGCGGGGTGCATCGTTGGCAGTCCGTGCGAGAATGTGCCTGTGTGTGTGAGTGTGTCCGTCCCTGTGCGCCTGTGCGTGCACGCGAGACAGGGACACACACGCACACACTCAGGCGCTTTTCCGGAAGCAGCCAATACCGAGCGAAGGCGAAGGCACGATAAAACGGTGCCGTGGCTCGGCCGCTCGCGCATGCTCAAGTGGGTGGCCGACTGACTGACGCCGCCGTCCTGGACGCGTTATCGACGGAGACGCCCCCTGTGCAATGGCACCGTGTGTGTGCCGCGCCGTGGCGAGCACAGCGCAGCGCAGCACAGCGACGCGAAAACGGGGACAGCTTAGCTCCCACAGTGTGCCACTCGCGAGTAAGGGACAGCCTGCCCTTAAATTTAAAAAAAACTTTAAAAACCTTTTGAAAAAAACTTTGAAAAAACTTTAAAAAAAACTTCGACAAAGTTTTAAAAAAAAACTGAAAGAAACTCTAAGGAAATTTTTTAAAAAATACTTATATTTGATTAAGGGTCTCTCTCAGGCTCTTTTTTCTCGCAGTGTTTTCTGTTTCGAGAGAGACGGATCAGGCCATGAGCTGAGCACTACCGCCGAGTGTGTGTACTTTGGGCGTTCTTCTGAACAGGGCGGCACAGGGTCACCACTTGGATCATGTTCTCGCCTCGTCACACACTTGTCGAAGCACCGCGAAGCACTCGGCTGTCGCGCAGCGGTTACGTATCGCGGAGCTTGCTTTCTCGCTCCAGCCAGCTAGCTGCACGTGCACTGCAGCCAGCAGCTATGCGTCATGCGCTGCAGAGTCGTCGCTCTGTCTCTCTCGCACTCCCGGGCTCGCTGCATGGGTGCGAGAGAGAGACAGAGCGACGACTCTCGGAATCAGTCTGCCGGTCGCCGGGAATTCGTCGGAATCGTCGCACAGCCGACCATGAAACGGTGGTGGTGCTGTATGGAGTCGCGGAAAGAAGAAAAATCCGTCGTCGGACACAACGTCCCCTTTTTCCCCTGTTTGTTTTCGCAGTGTGCCTTGCGAGTCGTGGGTGGGGACGGCTTTTGACGGGGACATCTCTCTCAGGAGGTGTTTACGCGCGGACGGTGGCTAGCGCCATCGTCGCGGCGTGGCGGCGCGGCGGCGCGGCCGCGCGCTGGAACTGGAAAGTCAGGAAGTGCGTCGACTACGAGGCGTACTACTTCCGAACGGCGGCAGGCCGGCCGGCCGCCTTGATTCCGAGGGGTCGTTTGGTCGCTTTGTCTCTGTCGCACTCATGGGGCGCTCCCCTGAGGTGCGAGAGAGACGGAACGACGGAACGATCCTTTGGAATCCAGCCAGCCAGCGCTGGTCATAGCAGGATGCGTCGCCGGCAACGAGTATTGTGCCGCCACACTTAGTCGTGTTGGTTTCGTCGCTCCGCCTCTGTCGCACCTACACGGGTGGCCGACTGTGTATCAGACCGTCGAAATACTTCTGTTTTTATTTTTAAAAAACTTATGTTGAATGTTAATTTAACTGCTTCATATTGTTTGTGACGCATGTTTGGTTTGTGAGGCGCTCGACCACGGTGGCCACCCTTGCTTTGCGGCGCTGGCGCCATCGAGATACGTACCGTACCTCTATATAAATTGGCGGTGCCGGCCGTTCCCGCGGAGAGACGGAGCGCGACGGTCCGTGGCGCCCCCTGGCGGCCGATGCGGGCTGATGCGGGCCGATGCCTGTCGGATATCGTTCCTTTGATGACCGCAGTGGCGCAGTTGGCCTGGCCGGCCTCGGTTATTAACTGTGGCTGCTGCCCGGACGCGTTTTGAGCTGCAGAGTCGCCAAATGGGACTCGAACAGAACGTGTGGCCCCACCAATGGATTGCTCTCCGAACGAGGAATCCATTGGTGGGGTCACACGTTCGGTTCGAATCCCATTTAGCTACTCTGGGGCTCAAAACGCGTCCGGGATTTCGACTGCCTCCACCGGTCTTCTAGCCCTACTGCTGCTGTTGTGTGGGCGGTCCGCTGAAACCCCCAGGCGTCTATATCTCGGAAACGGGGAGGGTTGGCTGCGTTGCGGATAGGACAACCTGGTTGTAAAATTCAATTTCCCAATTTCCTTGTACTGTCGTTCGTAACGCTCGCCGTTTACGAGCGATTGACACTTACACTTTTTGCTGCTCGGCTTCCGCCTTCGTTTAGTTTCCTTCGGCCGCCGGCGTTGCCTGGCGTTGCCTGGCGTTGCCGCACGCCCACGCCGACGGCCGCGGGTTTCTCGCTCGACGCGAGATTAATTGGCATTTAGGCCCGTCGCTCCGTCTCTCTCGCACTCGGCCCGCAGCGACGGAGGCGGCGGCGCTCTGATTCGAAATCGGCCGGGTCAGCGTGAGTCACTCCGTCTGGCCGACTTGGCTTGACCGTGAGCAAGGCCACACTGCAAAGCAAAAATCGAAGAAAAATAGTTTGGATTGGAAACCTGCCTCGTGGACGGGGAAAAGTAATCACCCTGTCTATACCCCACGCGCTGGACTGTGTCCGCAAGGCGAGCGTCGAGAGTCTCCCGATTAGGGGGTAGCGACGGGTCGTTTCTTTTGCTTGCGATACGGCAGGAGCGCACAGTGGGCCAGAAGATTGGCGGAGGCGGCCTAAATTCAAACGCGTTTTGAGCTCAAGAGTCGCTAAATGGGACTCGAACTGAACGTGTGACCCCACCAATGGATTCCTCGTTCGGAGAGTAATCCGTTGGTGGGGTCCTACGTTCGGTTCGGGTCCCATTTAGCGACTATGGAGCTCAAAACACATCCGGCCGCCTCCACCGGTCTTCTGGCCCACTGTGGCGCGACG